GGAGACACTCCCCACTGAGTGTCCCAGCCTCTGTTTTCTAGTCCTCCCTCTTCCCTCTTTCTCCCTCACTCTCTCTCTTACCACAGATTTATTCCATCTCTTCAGCTCACCTTGTGATGTCTGAGAGTCTGAAAGGCCCCACTATGCGGCACACTCACACTCACTACATCATCTTTGAGCTAGGAACACAGTAACCCAATATGTGGAGTTTCCCCTTCGGTTTGTTGGATTTCCCATAGCCACCCTAAGGTCTAGCCTTGGCTCCAGCTCCATGATTCAACCCAAGACAGGAAAGACTGAGACTAGACGTGCAATCCATTACTATACAGCAGTGGAGGGAGAAAGAGGAGGTGGACTCTGGTTTGGAGTGAGAGGACTAGTGCAAGAGGATTTGATAGGGTGCACAGCAGTTATTGATGGTTTTCAGCTGATACGTCTTCATTTAAGCTTTGAGGAAAAAAAATATCACTGTGAGAGTCAAACAATTAATGATGAGATTAAAAAAACATTTTTAAAGGTTATATATTAATTATACAATCATCCCTCTATATATACTAATAAATGTCATAACAAGCTTCCTGAGGAACACTGAGCAACAAAACGGTCAAAAGAATGCAACCAGTGGGGTTTTAGAGTTTATAGAGATTTTGGCAATGTTTTTCCTGATATGTGGTTACTAATAACACAAGTTTAACTTCAAATATTATGCTGGTTACAGACAGAATTAGTCCTATCTTATAATACAAGCAATCCTTTACTAAATTCCATGTAGATGAATACAAAAAAACAGTTTTCTCTGGTCCATTACTGACCTTTGGTGAATGTTAATTTAGTGCCCTCTATATCACCAAAGCCAGCACCCCTGCAGCGATGTGTTGCCTAACTGTCCTGAGATGACCACAGTCAATCTCAAGCCCACTTCCAAAGACACATTCTGACAACTTCAGACATGTCTCCTGTGCTCCAGAAGCCCCCCGCTGTGCTGTGACTTGTCAGCTTTTATTTATATCTGTGGAAGGAGAGGTGGAGAAAGCTGAGATGATGAGGGGTAAAGATATGCACCCAACACATACTGGGACAGCAGAGCCCAGAGACACTGTTGCACCTGCTGCAGCCACTGCACGCAAGGCTCATCTCCACAAACACCTCATATATTATCCACTGGGTTTTACAGGAGCTGCCCCTCACTCTGAAATACAGAAGGACATGGGAAGGTCTGGATTGGGTCCCAATAAACTAAATTTGCACTAGGGCTGGGAGATTCTGTTCACTCATATTGATCAAAGATTGATTTGAAAATATGTTTTTGTACTTGAAAATAATTACAGCAGAGGCACTTGATTTTGAAACCATGAAATGAAAAAGTAGGTAGACTTGTCACAATAACACATTTTGAAGCATAATATATTGCTACAGTAATATATTGCGATAAACAATAATACTGAAACTACTTTATGCCACATTACAAGAAAATCCTTGTAAACCATTTTTAAATAGATAGTATCATTAAGTGGCATAAGCTGTAACAAATAAATAGAAGAATGAAGCAATAATAAGCCACAGCAGTTAAATCTTATCATATAACAAAACAAAAAAAATACCACAAATCTCCCCTTTTACAAAGAAATTGTACATACGATAAATTCTGAGTCCCAAAATGTATAGGTCCAGCTTTCATATGTAGAATGATAAGTCATTCTACGATATAGTAATTATCGTGACAGGCTTAGATGTAGGTATTTAAATCTATTTGTTCCTGCTTTCACAAACTCTTTGGCACATTTCAAGTATTCACATGCATGTGTTTTCAGGCACAGCATTGGAACAGTTTTTCAGGCAAAGAAGTGAAACAGGGGTGGATCGCCAGAGCAAAGCCAATCAGCAATACTAATATAATTTAGCTGTAGACTGTTTCTCATGCCAGTAACTGCAATCTGTCATTGATTTGCTCTTGATCAAAATGTGTTTATCTGCACAGCCCTAAATAATACTCACACACATTTGGAGTACACATTTGATAAACTGACTTAATAATGACAGAGCAATTTACTGTTCATTTCTCATGGTTTTTACTCAGTATTATGAACTATCACAACCAAATCTGATAGTACCACCGAAGCAAAATATAAATAAACTTAAAAATACATTACATTTATTTTCATTAACTTTGTAATGTGGCTAATTTCAAATTCCTTCCTCAAATTTTGCCTACTGCAGAAACACAGTCAATGCCTTGTGCCAAAAAAGTTGATTAATCATGAGTCTAGACACAATTACAGCCAAATATCTCAACTTTTACATGCATTAAAAAAATACATTTTGGTCAAGGCCAGAACATTGTACAGTCTACAATGCCACATCCTATTTTCAGTGCTCTCTATCATTGAACAGCGCCTACCACCTGCATAACATATACAAATCACTTGGACTGATAGGAATCTGTTTGGGTTTAGTTACACGCATAAAGCAGAGTTTTGGTATGTGGTCATTCTGGTATGTTCAATGTGTGTTATGGGAAAAAGCCATTACCTGTCTGGAGATTAGAGCCAGTGGGTGGACGAATGGTGGACAATTTATTATTTTAAAATGTGGTTATTTTATGTATATTTTCCTCTCTTTGAAACCCAGTGCAATTTAATCACCGAAAATGTGGAATAAAAACTAGAGAGAAGTCAAACAATAAACATAGAAGTTAGAATGCTAATATATTTTGAAAGAGGTATTTATTTAAAATGCAATGTTGGACGGGTTACACTTTATTTGAATGATCAAAAAGGACACATTTTGCTGTTGCCTTTAAAGTAGAGCCATGTTCAAATAAATAGAGAACGCAGGCTGAGTTTTAAAATCACATACAGATGATTGGGCTGATGTTCACAGTCACACACTATGGGAGCCATGCGCTGTGTTGGAGAATATAAATGGACTTTTTAATTGTTTCTGACTCAAGACTGTGGGCTGGGTCTGCCTAAAGCCAATTAGGAAAGCAGAGGAAACAGTGAAGGATTGTCTGCGGAAAAGAGCTCTGACTTTGTGAGCGGCAGGCCTGTATGTGCCTGTAAGTTTGTGTGTATGGAATATGTGTGTCTATGCGAGCTTGTAAATAGCGCTGCTCTCCAGACCGTGCACACATGAGCGCGAGTGTGGAGGAAGAAAATGTCATATGGCATATCTGATTACGTCTTACAATGTTTTTGTACAGTACTGAGCTTTTTGCCTCCTTCCCTGACACAGAAAGCTCGGGCCACTGCTGGAGTATCTGGAGATTGAAATCAGAGCCAGAAGTCTGGTCAGACTTGGAAGACAAACAGAGGGAAACTGCAATGCAGAAAACCAGCTCTTTGGTTTTATGTGACTTATGTGGTGCTTGAATTTCACCCATTGTTTTGTATAGTCAAAACACTGTTTCAGGATGAAGAGAAACGCGGTCAGAGAATTTATAGAGCACTTGGCCAAATATGAAACTTATATACACTTTGTGAGGTCTGCATCCTGGTGCCATCTGTGTCAAGGCCAGGGTGAAGTCAGGAAACTGTCACACACATTGGTTCCCAGGCTGTACCGTTTCTGCCATTTTACATCACACTGGCTGTGATGGCAGACAGATAATCTTCTATTATGGTATTTTATCACACAGTTATGGTCGGTCAATGCTGTGTTCTTTAAATTGGAGCCATTACATGAAATTACACAAACTTCCCTTTCATCACTTCATGTCAGTGATGCATAGACATATAACCATATAACATAGGAGTTATATGGCAAGATTCTTTTTTCATTTAATATAAAATGCTATACAATATATTAAGTGACCTAAGACGAGGTTAAATTTATTAGTGATTATGCTGTATTTTTAACATGTGTATATATCTCTATCTCTATCTATCTATCTATCTATCTATCTATCTATCTATCTATATATATATATATATATTTATTATATTATATTATATTATATATTGTTAGGCCTATTTTATTGAGATAATAAATAAAAGAAATTTTCCCTAGAGATAAATAAAGATATTTTTGAATCAGATGCCCTGGCTTCTTGAAACATACCTCTCTGTTTCTTTAAGCTTGAGTGCTAACATATCATAAAAAACAACTATAACCAAACAACACTGGATCAAATGCAGATTCCAAACAAACAGACAACATCATAACTCCTATTGTAATTTCAGGCAAGCACAGAGCAAAACTAACAAGAGCTAAGGTCACTATTTATACTTCATATGTTTACAATGCGGTGCCATTATAAATAATGAGGTCCCTGAGGTTTGCATGCTGACAGTGCAGTGGCTGTTAGTAGCAGCAGGTAGTAAGCTCCCTTGTGGCAAATAGAAGGAGGAAAGTACACTTATTTCACCACTGCTACTCAAAAAGCATATGTATTCAGTATTGAAATTATGACTGTAAATACATATGCAGGTGAGAAGCCATTTGCCTGAATACTGCTGCTTATGTTATGTTCATGCATGTATGCCTTGGGGTCTGCAGCAGTGTGCATGTGTCGCCCATATATTTAGTTGTGTTTGGGGTACTGAGAGGCTGGGAAAGGCGCAGGGGCAGATGACCTGATTGGTAGGTGGGGCTGCCAGCTGGTGAGGGCTAGTGTTTCCTCTGGCATGAAAGAGCTCTCAGATCATCAACATACTGATAGAAGCAGGACAGCCATGAACCTAGGTACAGGCATTGGACTTGTATTCGATTTTATGGCGGTGTAATAAAATCAGACTGAGAGTATGAGGTTATACAGGCAGTTGTTATTTGAATAATTCTGCTTTATCCATGGATCTAGAATGAAGAAAACTTAGGATGCAAAAGCGGTTAAGACTTTTATAATCTGTTTTGAACAAGGAAAAACTTCAAAATGTTGCACATAACAGGAAGTCTCTCAAATAGGGAAAAACTGTATGAATCCTAAAATATCTGACTGAATTTAATTGTGTAGTCATTCAATCCATAAAATGCAAAAAGGTGTATTGTGGCCCATGTCCCACCTCCATTCTTCCAGTTGACTTTTCCTGGGCGCTGTGTGCATCTGGCCGGGGGCATGCTCCAGTCTCACTCGGGGCGAGGCAGCTGTGCCTGGGGCTCTTTGGAGAGAAGCCTCTGCTCACTTCAGTCCTGCTGCTGCTGCTGAGATACACAGAACAGACTCAACCCAAGATTTAGGATTCAGAAGAGAACTGAAAGATGAAGACATCTGTATGGAGAATGTAATGTCCTTTTGAGCGTTCTTTAGTGTGATGTTAACTAGTTTTATGTGAAATCTACACAAAAAGCATCTACTGCTACATGTCTAATGGCATTATGGATTACTTGTCATTTCATTTGCTCTTTCTGACTGTATCTGTATCTTGTAGAAAACAAAAAAAAATCTATATAAATAAATCACATTCTTGAGTTTCTTGGTTAATTCATGAAAGTTGACTGCAGAAAATTTTATCAGAATCATGATGCATTTATGCTATAATAAATAAAAATATAATAAAAAGGTAGACATACATAATAATGAACTTAACCATATTTTAAATAATTATAAACAGATTACTGATAAAGTCTAATTTAACCAGCGATCATGTAGCTCACAGTCAGTGGAAAACAATCAGGTTCTTAAACAAAATAGAAATCCTAAAAACAACTAGATCAACAGTATATTCTTGGACCTTGTAAAATAAAGGACACTAGTCTGGGACAGTTCATTGACAAGCAGAGTGGAGAGGGGCAGAGTGGGATGTGAAATAATGAAGACAACATAAAGTGGCTGCGTGTGAGCGGACGCTTTCACATAATAAAAGAGATAAAGTGCATGCATTCAGCCCAGACAGCAGTGCTGTTGCTTTTATAGCTAAATGAAAAGTCCTCTTTTACACAGATTTATTGTTCTCACTTCCTTTTTCTGCACACTCGGTTGGAGTTTAATTTACAGTGGCACCAGTTGCTACGCATAAATAAAAACATAAAGCATAACAGCACATTGGACAATGAAAGACGAGACATGTTCTTTTGTACAATGTCATAGTATTTAGAGATTTCCCTCAGGCAGCAAGTCACTTGTTTTTACTTTGTTTCTAGAGGAAGAGAGGCAGAGATGAAAGAGTCTTTGGAGGTGTTTGCGGGTGTGAGGGCTAACATACTGTAAATGTCAATGCATTCATAGGACAAAGCTACACACCTTTTGGACATGATGGCAACAATGGACTTGATCACCAGATATCAAGCATTGTTATATGCAAATAAAAGGAGAATAAGAGCAATAGAAAACACGATTATGTAAGCCATGTACAATTAGACAAAGGCTCTGGCCTCAATGCATTATCAGGTGAGAGATCTGGCACACACATAAAGGAGCACTGACCTTCAGATACTGGCCTCACTTCATCAGCTGCACCTTCAGAGTGCTGCCGGGCACACACTGGACCAGCAAGACACATAGCAGCTCTACCAAAAATCTACCAAAGATTTCCACATGTATATATGTATATGTATATGTATGTGTATGTGTATGTGTATGTGTATATATATATTTATGTGTGTGTGTGTGTGTGTGCGCGCGTGTGCGCGCGTGTGTGTGTGTGTGTGTGTGTAAATACCAACCAGAACCAACCAGACATAGTGGTGGTGGATAAGCAACAGAGCAGAGTCGTGGCGGTGGACATCGCAATACCAAGCGATGGTAATATCAGGAAAAAGGAACACGAGAAACTAGAAAAACACCAAGGGCTCAAGGCTGGAGAGAGCCTGGAAAGTGAAGGCATCAGTGGTGCCTGTGGTGATCGGAGCACTTGGGGCCATAACCCCCAAACAGCAGATACTGGGAAAAACAACGGATATCTCAGTCCAGAAAAGCGCAGTACTAGGAACTGCAAAGATACTGGTAAGTTTACAATATAAAAGAAAACTCTCATGCACATTTGTGACCGGGAAGGATATTATAATGTTATGAAAATCTTTTAAGTCCAGTATCAGAGTTTACAGATTGTAGTGTATAAAATAGTAACAAAGGCAGAAGGCAGTACACGTTGAAGACACCGATATCTTAGTCCCAGTTCATGTGAGCCCTGCAGGGAGCAGACAGTATTTTGTGGCTTTGATATTGCTGCTGGGAGTAATTCAGTAAGACATACTGTAAAATGTGTGATTGACCGGCTGGAGATAAGCCAGTGCTGTGACATAACATTGTATCACTGATTCAGAGTTCAGGGGAGAAAGCTGCATTAATCTATGGATAATAGATTGCAATTATTTAGAGGCCACACAAATTGCATCTCCAGCATTATTATGAAAGCCTAACTTACTATAGAACATTCTTTTAAAAAAGCTGGTGATGCACCTTATAAACAAGTTGCAACATGATTTCAAAATACTGTGTAGCATAGAATAAAATCAACATACTTAAGTGATATTTATAAAATGAACAACCAGCACTTTAGATTATGAACCTTTGAGGACAAAACCATCAAACGCAATCTCACTACCCTCTCAACCACATTTGCTCCATCACCTTCTTGTAACCCACTTTAAACACCTCCACAGAGCCCTGACCTGCTTTCCGTGTTGTGCCACCTCCAGCTGAGCAGCGGTGCAGTCTTCTGTGGGTCTGTAAAAGAGAGAAATCTGCCCACAGGGAGCTCTGGTCTGGCCCTCATGTGCACTCCACCTCCTCTGTGACCTTTCACACAATACAGCAGCCGGCAGATATTAAACCCGCTCTCCTGCAGGATCAAAGACACCCTTACACCTGGACCTCACAACAACAGTACACAACACTACTACACATTTGTACAACTTGTAGTATTTTATCACAAGAGACAGACACATGGTATACAAAGGCAGCATATGCTTTCCCCATACACCTGTACAGTCACTCGAAAAACTCCAATTACAGTCCTGAGAGACAGAAGATGGGCGCGATAGAGGAGGAGAGGGAGGATAAGAGGATGAGAATGGGGCCTGGAGCAGAAAGCAGAGTTGGTTTTCAAGAAAAGAGTCATCCAAGCTGCCAGTCCGTGTCAGTTCTTTGAGAAAGTAATCCTCTCTCCTCTTCTCTCCGGGCAGATATGATGTCCCATGTCTACAGCGAGCAGTGGTGTGAATGGAGCCGGTGAACTGTCAGGGGATGTCATTTCACTTTTTTACTTGGAAAGAGATACTAGCTATTTTTACATGCACAGATTATTATCTGATTTCTGGAGTTATCAGATTATTGAAATGTCAGTAAACAGTTACATTCAATTTATGTCCGAGAGTTTTGACAAGGAAAATTATCCAAAAACCTGCAAACTAATGTGGCAAAGATAAAAAATTAAAGAAGAGAAGGTTGAAGACTAAATTTCAGTCATTTTAAAATTCATTGTACTTTGTCTTCCAAATACAACAGTCTAAAAGGGCACATGTTACCAGGTGTTTTGATCATGCTTTTGTGCATGTAAACACACAACAAAAATCATATCTGATGTTTGAGTTCTCTGAATATTTTAGTTATCTGATTTTTACTAACCATGTTAAATGTACCCAATAATCAGACATAAGTCTGGATCAATAAAGAGCGTAAATTAAAAATACACACTTCTGGTTAAACTATATAACCATTGCAAGATAAGGTCAGTTTCACACAAGAACCTTTCTCAAGTGATTACATTTCTTGGTGCAAAGTTACCTTTGTTTTATAAAACAAAAAGGTAAAGATTTCAAACGTGGACCTGCATTGACTTCAATCTAATAAAGGCATATCAACAAATCAGCTAAACTGTGTAAGTAAATGTAAGTGAAATGATCCAACAATAACACATCCTTCCTGTTACCGGTTAAACAAACCATTAACTACTTTTTTAAGTCTTGCAAAAAAAAAAACTGTTAAGTCACCCCAAGTGCCAACAGAAGTTCACATGTAGTTTGTGTATGTGAGCGTGCATGTCTTAAATATACACTTGTATCTGTACAGGTGTTACTGTGCACATGTGTGATCATGTAAAGCAGCTGTGATGGGGTCTGTCTCTGGGTGGTCTCACACCCTCCTCCATAAATTATTACTGCACTGCTGCTGCTGGCCTTGAAGTGGGTTCAGGATAGGGTAACATACTTTGGCAGAATACATTTCTGTCAGCCACAATTGTTTAGATTTTTTAAAAAAAGAAAAAAAAGAAAAAAACATCTGGCAGATATCTTTTGAATTCTTGCCTCTCATAAGAATTACTAAAACTGTAATTACTTCAAGTTGTGACTCGTCCCATAAGAACATTTGTCATGGCTGCAGGTCCTCTGACATATTGATTATTTATAATAATGGCTTCTTTCTTTTAGACGCCTGAACATTTTACAACAAGAGTTAAGTTTAATTAAACTTAATCATACCTTTTCGATTTAAAATTACAGATTATAAAAATAAAGAATCAATATTATTTTTCAGGGTGGTGTTTTTTTTTTTTGTTTAGTTTTTTTAATTGAAAGCATTAGTTTGTTTACAACTGTTGCTAGTAAACAGTAATACTGGTGTTTTTTTGTTTGTTTGTTTGTTTTGTTTAAGGACAATTGATTTTGTTCAAACCAGAGCCAATGGCTTAATGAATTAGGACAATTAATCCCGTATTAATACCATAATAATACTAATTATTAAAACTAGTAATTGCTAAATACTGTTCGTAATAATATCTTTACACGAATAAATGCATTTCATAACTTGCAGGACTTTCATAACGCATTAATGAAATAAAGTATTAAATCTCTGCCATTATGCACACTTGTTGACAGACTTCATAAACTTAAATCATGCTGAAAATGCAATAGCGTTGTCATATCTTTATGGTAATATTTATTTTACTTTTTTACACTAACTTAAACAAACTGAGCATGTTAGGAAGGAATGTGGTTTGTCTGGAGATTGCAGGGCCCTGTTAACACAACACTGGTGCACTTAACATAGCTGTTGATCAGGAGGAGAATACACGCTATGAGTTAACCCTTACGTTTAGCCAAGGGAGGTACAATAGACACTCAGACTGCCACAACACAGTTAAAGTCAACAACTGGACGACCCCTTGTGACCCCTTGATAAAGTATTAAACATCATTCAACATCATTCAGTGCCAAGTCATGTCGAGTCTTGTAAAATGCCTCCATATGTGTATATAGTCAACAGATGAGCCAAAAAAGGCATGTACAGTACAAATATAAAACAATACTCTCAACTGTAACTAATTGGAGAGTCACCAGCCCGCAGCATGATAATCCAGTCCTATCCGTGCAATAAAAACACTCACTCTTTCTCATTGGCTGACGACAAATGTTTTGACTCCATTGAAATCAAATGGAACACAGTTTGTGTATTTTCAGCTCTTGGTTAAATCTGGAGCTTCACAACCAATTCAAAACATGGCAGCCAACCAAGTCATCTACTGTGTGTGCGGACTATTATCAAATTCCCTGCGATACTTCCCCTGCTACTTAAAATGCAATGAGAGTCAAGGTAATGTGCTCAACTGAGTAAGACATGGGATCATTTTGATACAAGGTAAAGAGTGGATCGCACCAGGGACATGCGGAAAACCTCCAAGATTGTATAACCTAATCATAAAGGAATGAAAGAGATCCAAAAACATTGAAAAGCTCTGCACAGAGACATTTGTAGTCCAAGTTTTGTGTCTCATTGGGAGTGATAGCATTATTTTTACGCCAAGATTGTATGAGTTTTGGCCATTTGAAATCCCTTTATAGCGAAAGTACTGTGTTAAAGTTATCGTGTTAGCATAGCAAGGGAAAACCCACAAAATACTAACTGAACTGTTAAACTAAAAAATATGAACTGATGTCTGTTATTAAAGTCTACTGGAAATCTCCTTGTGCTTGTTTTGAAAGTTCGTCCCAGGCAACAGATGTTGTTCATTGAGCCTGGCCGTGCTGGGGAAGAGCACCAAATCATGTTTTTTCAGCCCAAATAGCTCACGCACAATTAGCCTGCCGGGGAGCTGTATGCACTGGCACGTTGCTGTGGTTCCCTCTTTGTTTTCTTAATAATTAGCCCTGTTTTCACTGGGGGATTTGTGTGTGTTTGGAAGCAACCTTTCAAGGCTGTCTCATCAAGTCCCCAGCCTGTCTGTGCTCCATACAGTATCCCCTTCTGTCTGTCTACTCAGAGATTTACCAGCACACGCCTTTTTATTATACTTCACAAATTATGGGATTTATGTACATTATGTTTCTTAAAAAGACACTGATAAATATAAACTGTGCTAAAATGACAAAACTAATTGTTGACTTATGGTTTCCATGTACAAAAGAACACATTAAAAGGCATTATATGATGTTTCTCTAAAGTATGACATTCAAGGACCCATTTTATGCATTTTTAAAATGTATATTATAATGTTGTTTCCGTATCAAAAACATAACCAGAGTCCTGTTTTGTTTCCTCATCACATTTTTAACATACATAGAAAACAGTGTGTTCCACCTAATGATGTTATCTGGTATTACAGGAAGTGCTCCAGTGTGTTTTTAAAACCCATACATCTTCACAAGAATCATTTGGTAAATTTCAGACTTTGAACTGCAAATCTCTGCTAAACAAATAGTAAATGGTAGGTGTTAACTTTAAAAGTATAGCTTCATGACATCGCAAGGGGGAATTTCTATTCCCATTTTGAGCTTTGGAGATGTAGACAGGCTAATAATGCAGGATTACTTAAGACATGTGTGAATGAAACAAAACAACTCAGGTATGTTTTTGAGGAAGTAACAGCTTTATAACATGACTTAAAGCTCCCAAGAGTCAACTGTGCAGAATATAGGACTTTTTAACTAAAAAGACAAGCAGGAGGCACCTCCAAGCCAAGTTACATGTCACATTTGTGAAGAAGCAAGGTGACCCCCACACTGTAAGTCTGAAGTAACCAGCAAAGTTACACAGTGCACCTTTTAAGGCAGGAGCCTCTGATTTTAAACTGTAATGCATTTTGGAGTGGTGTAGTTGTAAACACACCTGTCACTGGCTTGTGTTTAGCCAGCGGTCAATAAGCTGAGCGAGAGCCGTATTGATTCACACCTGCTCCTCAATCACCTTGACCCAAGGCGATCTGTTCACATAACCCCTGTTAATTAAAGTCCATTGATAACAACACAATCTCAGCTTATAATGTCTACAACAGTGGAGCTTTGTGCTGCTGTTATGCCTGGGTTACTCTGCATGGATATCAGGGTGGGAAACAGAAGGGACACTTGATACCAATACTACTTATCCAAAAAAGTAAGCATCATCAATATATGATTAAATATTATTAATAATAAAACATATATTATTACATTTCAGCATTATAGGAAAATCTATGGAATGCCATGTGAACTTTATGACTAAATGTGTATCTCAAGTGTAAATTTGTATCTTGAATAGTATAGCCTATTTGACTTACCGGAGCAGCTAGAGTTTATTGTGGGAGTCTCTCTCATTTCTTTTCAGCCTCTGTGAAATAAAAGAAAAATAACAAAATTAAGTGTTGACAGAAATATAGACCAAATACATTACATAGAGTGTATGAACAGTGAATACATACATACAAACATAAATCTTTTTAACAATCTGGCAATGAAACAGGAAAACTTTTACATTAGTATTGCTGGAACTATATTGATTTGAAAAGCTAAGATAGCATGGTAATATAAAGAAACTGCAATTATTTGGAGTTTGAACACACATATTCTACTGTCTAAAAAGGTGTGTTTTTATTATTATTGTGGGATCAAACTGTGTTGAAGTAGTTTGAAATGTTAAAATAGTGACAACACTATGTGATGTAGTGTGTGTGTCTCCTGTGCCCATGCGCGTGCTGTCAGTGCGTCTGTGGGAATGGGGTCACACCTGTGGAGGCTGGCAGAGTGATAAACGATGTTGCTTTAAACTTTGGAGGCCATCATTTTTGTGAGCCGCTGTTTGCCCGACACTGAAGTATAATAGGTCTCTGTGAAGCCCCTTGCGCCCGGTCAGGACACAGGGCTGTCCTCTGTCTGCTATTTATGAAAGGAGGAGTAACTAGCCTTCTATTAGCTAATGACACATTCGGCTTCGATTTACCATAATAGGATAGAGCAGGCCCCTCACATTACGCCTGGCATTTCCTACACGGCTGCTTTGGAAACTTTCTCACAGAGCTCACACCAGTCAAATGCATTCAATCACCCAGAAATACATGAGCTATAAAAATAAGTGCACTGATCTTAACAAACATAATGTGAGTTTTGGTATCTCTTTGATAAGACTCAAGAAGCCATCTGTACACTGTCATATTCATAATATTAATCATTACTCTTACTTTTATTTTATGTATTAATGCCATAGACAGTGGTGGTAAGCCTGTACTGTTGCCACAGCTGCCATGGGACAAACTGACAATCAGCACCTCTGACCACCATAACTTAATTACAGCCAAGATAGATGAAGTGTAATGCCTAAGGACACAACAACAGTTTTGCACTAGAGCCAGTGCTGCCACATTGTACACCTGGTATTCAATGCAGTTTCTCATACTAAACTGAAACAACTCTGCTTAGCTTCCAACATCAGGGTATTCACAAGGTATGGCCACGCTAATATGTTTTAGCAGAATAAAGGTTTTGATGCGATTTTATTGTTTATGTTATTACTACTACTTGCTTACAGTTATACCAATGTACTTGCTTTCCTTAGTGATAGATCATAGGCATAGAGCCTCACAGGGTGTGGGAAGGCAGGGTAGTTTGGGGTTTAAAAATAACTTGTAAACATTAGGCAGAAAAATTGCAAATTGTTGCTTTTGCAGGCAAAGACAGATGAAGAAACCAGGGCACTTTTCTTGACTATTTATTATTATCAGTGCACTTACAATGATTATTTATCATTGTTAGACTATTCTACATGAAAACTTATTACTCTCACATTTTACACAGAGTAGATGTACTCCTAAGCTAAAGCTTGCCATTTTGGACACTAGATATGCCTTTTCATGGCTGTTTGCAGTAACTCATCAGTGTATCCTCTTACCACCTCTCTTATCAGATCAGAGCTCATATCGGCCTATCCTGCTTGTTTTAGGCCTGAAGTGATAAAGTGACATGACGGTCTAGACTGCAGCTGTCTGACAATGAAGCCATACGTAATCTCTACAACATTCATTAACACAGAGACAAGTGAAAAGAATTGTTGACATAGTACACCTCTTTGATTTATATGGGACAGTACAAATTGTTATGAATTTGTTTGGGAAAAATAAGTCAATATTAACCATGTTATGATCACTAAGGACAGCATGCAAACTACAAAACAATATTGTACATTTCCCATATTTGATTCAACTTCTATATTTTTATTATATTTGAAGTAACCTATGAGTACAAGTCTGGGCTCTTTCCAAAGTCACACAGTATAAAACACACAAAAGCCAAACACACACAAAGTAAACAGCCAATGGATATTAATCCAAGCATGCAGTGGCAGTGTATTAGCTCATGATGAGCCCATTGTGCCTGCAGCTTGCAGCGTTTGTTGATACATGTGGTTAGTGCAACACAAGATTAATTTTAAGTGTAGCATCAGCTGTCATTTACATTTGGATATGGAGTGATTGAGCCTTTTATGCTGATTTACTGTTATGAATAGAGGGCTGAGGATGATATCCTCCATGCCTTATGAATGGGGCTATTGTGTTCAACTCGTGCTGCTGCCATTAACTCTTTATGTAATAGTATTATTATAGATCATATTCTTAGATACTTACAAACAGAGAACACATGGATATGGGCTACTGAAATTCTGTAGGAGACAAAAATAAACTGGGCCTACACTTCTAGAAAATACTACTACTACAAAAATCCCAAGAATTCAACTAAGATTTACAACAAAACAAAACAAAAAAACAAGCTTTAGCCTGCATTTTATTAATTAAGTTTAGACCCATCTACGGTGTGAAGGAAAAAAATATGATAATAAAAAACTAAAAGGTTAAGATAAAATAATATACAAATATTATAGAATTATTGCTTTTTCCATTACCCTAATTAAGTTATAGTCAGTAGTTTATTTTCCAGTCTGTATAATACTTCATACAAAAAAATAACTCCCTTAAAGTCTAACCTCGCTGACAAATGAGTTAAAATAGCGAAAGTTTCGACACAGCACCCCATATTTTGTTTGTCATTCATCATGCCACCGCAGCCTAACGTTTGACTTCTACTACAATTACTCCTGTCATTAAAGTCTGCGTGTTGTTGTCGTTTTTTTGTGTGATAAGGGAGATTACCGGCCAAGCGAGGACTAATCTTCTCTCCAATCTGCTTTTGTGGTCGGCGGAAAGGCAAACCTCAGCGTGCCACTCAAACCATGTGCGCACACAGCCCAATGGCACAAACCTGACGCGGCTGTACTGCTGTGTTGGACTGCCCCCCAGTGGCTGCTTGGTGTAGCTGTAGCACAATAATTCTACTCCATATGTTTGTGTACATGTTACTAATTGGGAATATGAATATGAAATGTTAAGTCATTTAATAAAAGTATGATTCTAGGTCTAAATAGAAGTCAGAGAGTCACGACTTAACACGGGGAGTCAGATTCATGCAGCTAAAACCTGTAACAGTCTTCCTGAACATGTGAGACAGGCCTCTGCTAAAATCCAGGCTCAAAACAGTTCTGTTTAGCTATACATATGACTGAAAGGTTTTCATTTTACATTCTGCACTCTTCTTCTCTCTCTTTTAATGCCTCTCTCTCTCTCTTTTTAATTTTATGATGATTATGTTTTGTTTTCTTTTGATTTCTTTTTATTATTATTTTTATGCATTTCTTATACTGTAAAACACTTGGAATTACTTTGTGTATGAATTGTGCTATACAAATAAACTTGCCTTGCCTAATATAGAAAATCAAACAGGCTAAAACAAGGGGCTTTGTGCCATACACATCTAAGTATTTTACAAAAAAAAGTTTCACATAATCTACTATTCCATGTTGATATTTAGGGTAGGCTGAGTCATCTCTCTGGTAACGTAACTATCTAGCAAATACCAATAACGCATAGTGACAAATCCAGAAGCCCTGCTGTTCACCATATAGTTATAGTTATATAGACCCCGCTCCAGCTCCTTTACTCTTCCAGTCCACATCATTCACATCATCGTAAAAGCAGCGGCTCTTCATCACTTTACTGTACCCCACTGCACCCTTATTCTACCGCCCACATCAGAGGCAGCAGCAGGCCGCCCCTCGCCGCCTGTAAACCCTGTCAGTCTCTCACACTCAGGAAAGGGGGATGAGGCCTTATTGATGTGCCATAAACCCTCCTTTTATAGCAGAGGAAACTAGGTGGACAGGCAGTTGGGTGGTGTAGCAGAGGAAAATGCTTTGAGTTGTTTGTCTAATTATTGAAGTACAAATAATATTGTTGTTCTGAGTGGGATTGTTTTCGTCGCTCAGAAAAAAGGCATATCTTCATCATCTCACATGGCTTCTAGTTAGCCTTTTTTTCTTTTTTTTTAATGCAGGGTTTTGGCATCTCGTCTTTCTTACAGCAACAAATGCCAAAAATGCTTGTAAAAGTCAGTTCATGAGTGTTATGACTTAAATAGATGCAGTAACCATATGCAACCTCCTCTAAGCCCAACATTCTTGTTAAAATCGTGGTGTGATAACATGACTCCTACTTTAGCTACTGTGTGACGGGGAAGTGGGATTCTGACCTTTTTACGAGGCCTATCCAGCTGCTCTCCTCCCTTGTACTTTATCTACAGCTGTTGAGGTTTTGCTTGTACACTATTCCATATATTTTACTGAGCAAAAATATTAGAGGTCACAAAGGTACTCTTTAGCCTAATTAAAGACAGAGTAAGGGACATCAAGGGTACAATTTAAGTAGATTAAAATTAAGTAGCCACCCCTCATGACAACAGATTTTGTATTTTACATATTTCATAATTTATTGACAATCAATCAGTTAAATAAAAGAATGAAGATAGCTTGACTATTTAAATGTATGCTGCATCAATTTAAGCCACGTTTTTGCTCAGTCTTGGTTCAGAACTACTATCACAATTATGCAGTTGTATTTTAAACCTGGTTCTGCCTAATCAATAACTCAAATAGTCTTATTTTACACTAGTTTTAGATCTGGTGGTACTCAGGAGGCCACATATTTTCTAAGATAGTACTTACTATGAAAAACCATCAATCTATTCTGATTCTATTATAGATGACTGTACAAATTCATACTATTTAGGCCTACAATACAGAGAATGATTTTCACAAACTCACTAACATATGGGACACACATATGGACAGGTCCTCTGGGTGATCATTTGTCATCTGGAGAGGGATCTACAGTCAAGCTTTTTTTTAATGCCAAAGGCTCGACTTAAGGCATTCCTCCGAAAATTTATGTCCAAACAGCTGCGGTTTCATTCGTCTCCCTAAGAACCCTGAAGACAACGGCATCCCAGGAGTTATGAGGGGGATCTAATCCATTACACACCTCCAGTCCACTCCCAGTCAGCCTATGTGCACATGCCAATCTGTTTACTCTGTGTCTCTGTACTATACTCACTACACACTGCAGCTGGACCATCTCCACAAATGGTTAAGCAGTTACTTTGATGAGGTGACTTTTTCTCCTTCTTCCTCCTCTTTTTCTGGGGCTTAAGAGGCCACGGTCAGCAAGGGAAAAATCTCAGTGTTGCCTCATGTCCAGATGTGCTGTTGTGTCCGGGTAAAAACAGGGACAGAGGAACAGACCAGAGCAGGGGTCAACAAGAAGCTGATGCATCAAAACATTCTGCATATTTCATATGTGACACTATAACATACAGTTTATTCTCGTTCAACCTATGCTATGGTGGAAAATATGAATAAAACTAGAAATTTCACAGAAAATTTGCTGCTATAGTTAAATTAAAGAACTAGGTCAGGAAGACTAGCTGATGATACTGCTTTCAGCTAATGGAATCCATATAAATAAACAAATAAACATGTAACCCCACAATGCTGTTTTTTAAACTACTACTACTAACATATTTATTCACTGTAAATATAATAATTATGCACTATTATTATAATGACTAAGGTTCATATTCCTAAACTGTAACTCTCCTCATCCATACAGCTATACATTTGCTAAAATTTGACTGGCAATGAAGTCATCAGTATCACAGCTAATACGTGAATGCTAAATAAAAAGTTTTTACGAGCCAAGGTGAATGACAAGTGACACAAATGGCTGTGTGGAATTTTTGATATGTGAGAATGAATAGTTTTTAATGAAGGTCGACTTATTATCATGTCAGTTTGTCCTGAACAAATTGTCAAATCAGACTTAGGCTCACAACAGTAAATAGGATGAATATTCTCTGTAATAGGCAACTCTTTTTTTTACATTGTACAGTCGAATAAGAGGAAAAGGCAAAACAAATGAGGAAATATCCAGTTGTTTGCTTTTCATAATCCCTGTTACTGTTTGCATTTATAAATCACTTACATTGGTCTCTATTTTTGATGGCTTTCAGTTCTCTACAGCAGAAAAGAGGCCGTTCTCCTAGCTTCATCTGGCTTGATGAGGTCACTTGGTCTGATGCATTTCACTTCATGTAATATAAACTTCCTCCACACTGGCTCTTATTGCACAGCACAAAACTAAATAAATAAACAGCCACAGGACAAACCAACATTTCTAACTTGTTAGCACTCCCCACTTCAACTTTTGAGTTTGTTTGTTCAAATTTGCTTTTGTGGTGACCCAAATCTTTATACCAAGCATATGTGGTGAAAAGGGCATGCAGAGGCAAACATACCAAAGAGAGGAGAATTGTGGAAAATCCATATTTTTCCAATATGCAGCTAGGGTTGTTCATCAGGCTTAAGTTTGACACACATCTTTGAACAGACAGGAACAACAACCCAATGGAAAAAGTAAAAGGATGGAGCAGGGCAGTTTGGCTAAACAAATATAATTTTTGGACGCTGTTGCTGCCGGGAGGATAAGAAAAGGATGATGAAAAGAATGAAAGAGACATTTCTCCAACTAACTCAATGCCTCAGTGTTTCCTGAGCTTGATTAGAGGGATGTTGGGACTTGCAGTGCATTAAGATTAAGATCAGAGCTGTCTAAAGGCAATTGCCAAAGGGAAGTAGTAGGAGATTCTATACAAAAACTGACGTTAACTTTTAAAGCTTGTTAAAAAAAAAAAAAAAAAGGCTAATTAAAAAAATGCTCAGTTTAAGAGGTTTCTTTAACTTTTACAGACATTAACATCACATATTGTTTGGATCAATATGTAAAAACAAAATTTTGGAATAAAGCATATTGTTTATGTAAAAGTTGTCAAAATACAAAAACACAGATGACTTTTTTTCTACTAAAATCATCTTCTCTTCATTTAAAGGCTCTCTTCCATCTCAACTTGAAACTGGACATAGGAAGGCTCAAATATGCTTAGAACATGTCCAAAACCACACCCTGTCTGTCCTCAGCTCAGCTTCGACCTCTTCCTTTGTGGTGTGTCTGATGACGTCTCTGCTGCTTTCTTGGATGCCAATTTCTTTGCTGAATTCTTCTCCTCTGGATCATATAGCGCGTTCCTCAGAAAGCGAGATGCAGCACCTTTATCCAAACGAGCAGCTTTCTTTTTATCTGTAATCTCTTTCACTTTGTTCATATATGTCCTTATTCTCTCCTGGAAAATAAACAATATTTTAGCAAAACAAAAGACAAATGTTAAAAAAAGACAGCTTCATTCTAAAACACATACCAGTTCCTGTTTGATGCCATGCTCTCTTGGATTTATGCCTTGTGTCACCAAGTACACTATAAATAGTCAAACAAAAGTTAACAACACGTGTACCTTATTCAGTATTGGAATAGTAAATAAATTGTAAAACATGTCTTGAGGTTAAAGTTTAAACTTACTCCAAAACAAAGAATTCAATGTGTAGACAGACATCAGATCAAGTTTTGCCTGCTCCAATGGATCCAGCTAAAAATGTAACACAAAGTGTCCAAATATTACTGAAAAAGGAACATTTTAAAAGCAATTTAGATTCTTTACAAAAAAAAAAAAAAAACATCTCTCACATCTGGACTGAGTTTAGACAAAAGCTTTTATTTTTGAATAATTTCTTTGGAGGATATCATTGCATTTATAACATGGATTACATCGGTTACATGGATGCTTGAACACGCAACAGCTGAACGTGTAAGATGACAATTCATATAGTTAACACAAGATGAACTCTGTTGCTAGGAGTATGCTAGCCTGTACATAATTTCCATGGTAATTTTGAAACAACTCACCTTTTGCAGCAAATCATTTCTGGGCATTGAAATTAAAGTGTCCAACATGCTTTTAACACTTGAAACAGCGGTGTCAAAGCCAGTGAGCTGTTCGTCGATTTCATGAGGATAGTCTTCGTTTATGGCTTCCCCTGCCATCCTCTCTATATACGGTGACAAAACAGCAATTATTTAATCGTAAAACTCTTGCTATTGAGGCAAAATAAAAAATACCAAACCTACCTGCTATTCGTCGTGCCGCAAAAGTTTGGCTTAGCAGACAATAACCTTGAAAACAATCACAATAGTGGCGTTATAAACAACCTAAATAAGTGCATTAGGAGCCAAAAGTACGGGACCATCCAAGATTTCGTTTTAAAATAAATAATCTAGCAACATAGCACGTTGCAGTAATAAACCGGAAATGATCCTTTTTAGATAAGAAAAGATCCCGTTACTCTGCTGCCATCTGTCGTCTGGATGAAAAACAACACCCCCTGAATCAAATATTACAAGTTTACATTACAACATATTTAACATATGTGTTGAGATTAAAATAAATACAAATCAGATATATATATATTTTTTTTTTACATATTAGTAAATGGATGCACTTATGTTATTATTTTAAGGATACAATGCAGCTATGTGCAGGTTGTCATGGTAACGTGGTGATAGCCCGAGAGGTACTAATATGATCCTAGTCAGTTCAAGTTTAGTTGCATGTTACACACATACGGGTTTTACTCATCGCCGCGGTCGCCACAGTTGCTAATCTTTAAAAATGGACAACTGTGATTTAGAAAAGCTGTCTGTATCTGAGGGGAAACTGCGGCCGGACTTCTCACCAAATATCACCACCTACAAAGTCACAGTGGAAAGCGGCGTCAACAAAGTCATTCTAGACGTGGCCACTAGCGATTGTGGAGCCTCTTACAGAATCGTGAGTATATTTAGCCAACACGTTAACAATTTGACTGTATATTTGACTGAAACACCTTAACTTATATTTCAGCGCTTTGGAGACGAATCTCGGGTGATTGAACTCAGTGATGGCTTGAACAAAGTAGAAATTGAAGTGGCAGCAGAGGATGGTACTCTCAAGAAATATTATGTGGAAATCACTAAGCTCTCTGCTAAGATTGCAGAACTGAGTGAGCTTGCCTTGGAGGGAGAATTTCCTCTGTATCCTAAATTCAACCCCAAAACATTTGAATACAACAGTAAGTAGCAATTTTTGGACTGTGTATTTAAAAATTTTCAAAGTAGGATGTAAAATGCAACAATTATCTATTACAATTATACAGTTAAAGCTAAAATATTCCTATATCTTCCAGGTACTGTCCCATTTCATGTCAATTCAGTGGCACTGCTTCCCAGTGTACCAGACAAACACATTCAAGTTAAAGTGAACACAGTAGGCAATAATCAGCTTTTTCTACTCAATTATGGAGACACTTTGCTGGACATTTTAGTTTGCTCAGCAGATGGCACCCATTCACAGGTATTTTTGCTATGTTTCACACTAAATAGACTAATGATATAATATTATTATAACAATGTCTGACATTTTTGCAGGTGTATACTGTGGTGGTCACCAGAGAGCTAATTCCACTAGCTGTTACCTTCAGTGATCCCAAAAATCAATTTGACTATGAATGTCCAGTTTCTCTCAATGCTTTTTATAGACCTGTTTCCATCAGTGGAAGGTGGGGTCTCAGTAATCAAATGTCTGTATTCCTCATAGTCATAACATAATAATAAAATAATAATTTTGAGTTTTGCTTCTTTGCAGCAACCCTAAGCACATATTTTCAAGGCCATATATAGAGATGCTGGCTCGAAGATCCAAAGTTGACCCACTAAATAACAGTCCATTACGAGATGCATGGAAGGTTATTGAAATGAGTCTGGACCAAAAGATGTCTGCTGCTCCTGTCAAATGTTTGTTTACTTATAGAGGTGAATGTCTGAGCCCTGGCTTTTGTTTGCCTTTGGATCTTTAACCTGCATTTGATATCACTTACCAAGTATCAGTGTAGGTCTTCGCTTCATGGAACTCCAACAAAACTAGCTCAGGCTCAGTTTCACATGTGTATTCTGACTTAACTATCAAACCAGTACTGATTACTTCAAACTGGGCTATCAGGTAACACAGTGTTAGTTACTTACACTAACTTTGATCCACAGTGGAAATTACTTGGACACTATAGATCAAAAACTACAAGAATACAATTAATTTCAGTTTTTTGCTTATTTATTTATTTATTTCACTTATTATTTGCTTATTTAACCAACTGAACGTTAGAAAATTAAACAATGAAACATGTTCAGCAACATACAAGCAGATAGCCCACATTTGAATAAATTATAATACTACCAAAAAATAAAAAAGTTCATTGTGCATGTACAAGAGATGAGAGAGAGAGATTCAAAATCATGGTCCTGTAAATACAATGAATTTTTCTACTCTTTCTTTAAGGTTGTGATAGTGAGGTCAAACTATCAGAGCTCGGGTCACATTTGCTGCACTGTCCTCACAAATCAACAGGGGAGTTCAGTACAAAGGTCAGTGACAGTCATTGTCTGAATCGGTGCTTTGGAATCGGCTTTTCTCATCCTTTATTTACAATGTTGCATTGCATTTCAAGAAAGACAAAAGGCTACACTTTAGACAGTAAATGCAGGGATGAAAAAATTTAAATTTTTCTGTATATATTTTTAGCATGATACACAAAAAAACAGACTTGAACCTAAGACAAATTCACCGTAAAAGTTTTTTGTAAAAAAAAAAAAAAAAAATTATTATTATTATTTTTTTTATCTCTTCATTGAAATGGTTGGTGATAAACTTGTCAAATTAAGTAGTAGTTTTATTCTGTATGTTTTAGGATGTCACAGAGACAAAATGGTACAAGGAACACTTTGAAAAGACCAGTTCCCTCTCAATTGAAACGAAGCACAGTGTAGAGGTAATACACACAGATATATCATGAATTACATTTCTGTCATTATCAGCATCTCTTATATTGTTTATATGCTGTTTAGGTTCGAAACTGGGAGAAGAAACTGTACCTAGCAGCTGCTGCAGAAAGTAATATAGAAAAGCTCTGTACTTTTGCTCAAGATCACCTCAAAGTTTATAGTGAACACCTCCCCAAACCAGGTAAATTGATAAACAGGTAGGAGTTTTTTTTCTATAAATAGCATTGTCGTTCTTAACCTTAGTTTACCTTTGTGGTGCACTTAAAAATACATGAAACCGTGTCAGATAGTGTGTCTTTGAATGTGACGTCCTGTGACAGGGGCTCGGGTTACTGGTCAGTGTCTCCCCACTACTTTAGCTGAGCTAATTGTTTGAAGATGAGAAACCAGACACTGATCTGGAGGATTGAATGAAAGTCACTGGAAGTTAGCTGAGAAGTAACAACAAACTTATGTGTGTTTCTCACCTTCCACGGTGGTAGGTCTCTCTCACCCTCATTCAGCTCGGGTCCTCTACCAGAGGCCTGGGACCTTGAGAGTTCTGCGCAGTATCTTTGCTGTCCTCAGTACTGCACTTTTCTACAGCCCCGAGTGCTCCAATCACCACAGGCACCACTGATGCCTTTACTTTCCAGGCTCTCTCCAGCTCCTCCTTGAGCCTCTGGTATTTCTCTAGTTTCTCGTGTTCCTTTTTCCTGATATTACCATCACTTGGTATTGCGATGTCCACTACCACGGCTCTGCACTGTTTTATATATATATATATATATATATATATATATATATATATATATATATATATATGCACAAGGCTTTGGTATTGCATTGGCTAGGCCTGAATGAATATGATTAAGTGTTGAATAATTTTTGTAAACCACTATTTCATATTGTCCAAATAACTAATGACTCCTTATCTATGTGGATAGAAAGAGATGTAATGGCCAGATCACTTTTTATTGACGGAAAGACGTGCTAACTAACCACTCTGCTACTGCAGTCCCCAACAGTCTGACTGATTTTGCAAGATATTTCCAGGTGACATGGTACACTACCAGGAGGGCACATCTCCACTGTATAACCTTGAACAGGCTGCAGTTCACTATGCATCAGCCATAAGACACAGCTCTAAAGAATCTAGACTCCACTTTCTACTGGGGATGGTTCTGGAGAAGACATATTATGCCACGGAAATGTATGGCCTACAAAAGAAGGTATTCTAGATCTGTATGTTAACAATTAACACACATAGAAAGTTTTTTTTGAAAGACTAAGCAGTAAGTGTATAGTACCTCATACAATATTTTTCCCATTTACAGATTGACAAAGATAACATTGACTTAAGTGATGCTAAGTCAACATCACGACAGGATGATATCTTAGCAGTTTGTAAGCTCCATGGGTTCCCATGTAGTCCAACAGTGGAAAACCAGCTGCAGGCTTTGGATAAGGAATACCAGTCACTGAGAGAACAGGGCCAGTCCAGCAAGGCAGACTATGTTCAGACATTGTACTTATGGCTGTCAAAGAAGACTGGCAAGGTAATTCTTTGAATCTCAAATGTGTGTAGTTTAGCGATTGCAGGATGCAATAGCATATGAACACTGTACTTATAGTTATTTGTAAAGAATTTATCATTTGACCAGTTTTGATCAAGAATACACCACAGCTGCTCTAGGAGCTCTATAACCCAGATATAACAAATATAATTTAGAGCAAGTCACATTCGCTTGTTTATTCATTTCATCAGAGCTCAGAATTCCTGAGTGTGATTAGAAATGACTTCAAATGTGATTAGAAATGACTTCAAATGAAAAGAAGATATAACATAACATGATGAGAAATATGACCACACAAACTGCTTAAACTTTCTCATTCCTTGTTGTGACAGGACAACAGTGTAGCCCTGCGAGATGAGGGAAACAAGTTGAACCAGGCCTTGATGAAGTACCTGGATGCCTGGTCCCTGAGTCCAGACTGCTGGGAGTATAACTTACATGTCGGGAGGTTACTGTTACTACAGGGCAAACACAGTGAAGCTCTACAACATCTGCAGACCGGCTTGGCTCTTCGACCACTACATGCTGGACTAAGGTCTTTTACCATTCATTGTAAAACATTATAACATAATAAAATAGCAAATTATTGACAATATATGATTTACAATTATACTAATCTTATTGTCTCAGATTTTTCACTGGCCTGGCATTACTGCAGGAGGAAAAGAAAACCTCAGAGGACACTGAAAAGGATGCTGCTCTGTTCCTACAACAAGGTCTAGAGCACTTTATCGGTCAGCGCTGCAGAGAGAGGTGAGTGTGCATTGGGGGTGGATGATGCTTTTAGAGAATGAGAGGGCATGACTGCATCAGTAATGTGCCGCAAAGTTCTTTTGTATGTGCTTTGGTGAGTGATTGACCAGTAGCAAAAATGTTTTACTTAATTTTACTCACAGATCATTTAGACATTACATCCTGGCATCATACTTTACATCTATACCCAGAATTAAATTATGTACACAGATAAATATAAGTACATCTGTGTAAAACAATGAACATTAACCAGTCTAAATCTCTGGACACGAATTAAAAGGTCACGGTGCAGTATATCGGTATATCATAACTTCAAGAATAATTCCATTCCATATTGCTCTGCTTCTGAATTTTTCAGCTGGAAAGAACAGTTCCCATCAGACCCTCTGTCTAGCATCAGTACACAGTTCCTCCGAGGTCTTCTCACTTTGGGTCAACTACAGCAAAGCAACACGCTGCAGGACAAGGCTATAAGCTCCGAACAGGTCTATCACATGTATGTTTCAATCAGTCTTCTGCTGTATCTATTCTCAAGGTTTTGATATTCAAATATTTGCCGAAAAGCCAAAGTAGAAATCTCACTCATCAGAACTGCTCCATGTGATATTAGAACAGTTTTGTGCTGTGCTGTCTTCACAGTGTTGCAGCGCTGGCTGCCCAGAGTGTGAGTCAGTGTGTGATTCGTGGTGAGGCGAGCAGTCAGCTGGAGTGGGTGCTGCTGGATGCTCACTCTGCTCTTCTGCAGCATCTCATTCACAAGGCCAAGGCCAAGGCTGGAGCTGAACTCAAGTCTTTAGTGGCAAAACGGTGCCAGGCTATAATCGCTAACATCCGTCTGACCTCCATCACCCCCTGCAAGGAGCTACTGGACATGCAGGAGAATGTGAGGATGCAATTTATGGTTTCAGTACAATAATACATAATTCCTCCTTGTTCAAAGCCATATTGATTTTGTGGACAGGCATGCCAGTTATGGGTGGTCACCACACCATGGGATAGCTATGCTCTGTGTCAACTTGGTCTGACCCAGCTGGCTCAATATGACAGTAACCCAAAGCTAACTACATCACATGATGTCTTAGCTGATGCCTGTCTGAGCTTTCAGGCAAGCATTAATATGGAAGGCAAACCTCAGAAAGGGGAGCCACCAGAGGAACTAAGCAGTAAATATTCTTCATCATTCTGCGGTATACAGGTTTATAATTTAAACTGAAAGGCATTTTCTTTGTCAGAACAGAAGTGGTGGCAAGACAGACAGAAACGTGAACAACAGAATATGCCTAAGAGAGCACCCACTCAGCCACAGGCAGTGAAGGGGTCCGCTAATACAGGAGCTGCTACAAAAAGGAGCCAAGGTAGAGCACAGCCAAGAAAAGGCTCAGCCTCTAAAGCTCCTGCCCCTGTGACCCCTGGAAGGACAGAAAGGACTGCTCCTGCCATCAAACCCCCTGCTGCCAGGTGAGTCAACAGACCTCAACAATAACCCATGTGCATTTACTGCAATGATGTCAACATATTTTATATTAAAATGTATTAAGTTGAAAAATACACCATAATACTCTGTTGCATTGTAATACACATTTTGCCCTCTAGAGGGAGACCTAGGGTAGCTGCAAAATCCTCCAACAACAGTACCAAACGCATCAACTCATCAAGCAAGTCCAAACAAGAAGTATCAGCCAAACCTACTGACACAGTCACAGGTATGAGCTGAGAAGAGCTCACACACAACTCCTCAAAATGAGCTTGCGCAAAATGTTGAAACTTCTTTTCAGAGCCAATGAAAGAAAGTGTCATTGAGTCCAGTCCAGTAAATCCCAAGTCTCACGTCCCACGCATTGGCCTAGCTCGTGCCTTATGTCGCTCAGATAAGCATGAACAAGCAAAAACTCTCTATCAAGAAGTCATCTCAATGTCACCAAAGGTTGGTAGTAAGGGTGTATATATCATGTCTTCAAATGTGTGTATGGCAAATGTGTATTAAACTGACAAACATTCTCAGGTGCATGATGCCTACATTGAGCTTGTGCAGCTGCTGGAGCCCTCAGACCCACAGGCTGCAGTGGAGGTGTACTGCAGATATCCTCTGAAGCCAGTGGCTGAACAAACTTTTGATGATGCATTCATTACAGGAGAGATTGTCCGAATTCTTATGAAGCTGGAGCTATATGACCATCCAGAGCTTGGCTCAAGCCTTGTAGCGTATGGAAAAGTCATGGGACTAAGTAAGTCATCTTTAGTAATATGCCCCTTATCAAACCAGATCATTCAAAGTGGGTTTGTGGACATTTGTAGGAGGCCTTATAGCATGCCTTGCTTTTTATAGCAATGTATCAGATTTAAGTGGTGCTATAGCTAGGCAGGCCAGAGGGCATGACATATTGCACACATATTAAAGGATCATGTGTGACCACTCGACCACATGTGACATTTACTCTTGTCAGATTCTTATTAGCAGAGCAGTTGGAGCAATGCCAATTGTCTAATGTGTGATTATGTCCATAGGTTGCATCGAGAAGTACATAGACATTTTGGATGGAAAATCAATGAACAAACTGCTAAGAAGTGTCTATGCAGAGATGCATGACAAACCAGAGGATGACCCTGAACTACAGGACTTTTTTAGATTTAAATACTGGTTATGACACTACTCATTTGAAAGGAAATAAAAGACATTTTCCACACATAAACAAAACACACTGGTTTTTAACTTAATAAATCTTTATTTTAAAAAAGCATATAAAATTTCTGATATGAAGGCTTGAATTTTACACTAAACAAAGTCCAATAACACTAAAAGAAACTTCTTAAAGGAAAAAAGACTGCACAAATACCATAGTCAAGTGTAAATAAAATTATTATTACACTATGAAGGTGTGTTGTGTATGGTCTAGTCTGTTCACACCACATTGAGTTTTGTTACAATAAGGACTCGGACACACTGGTCAAAGCCTGAACACACACAGAGACCCTGCTTGTCGGGGCTCCAGTCGAGGCTGGCAATTGGCTGAGTGGACAGAGTAATGTTCTGCAGCAGATTAACTGTTCCTGCAACTCCAACATCTACACCATCAGAGTCCTTTTTACTTCTCTGAGCAGGATACTCACTGTAGAAAAACACAAAATACAACCAACCTGCATTCCCTTTGACTTTTGGAATTATATGTAATTTAATAAACATTACTTACTACTTCCAAAGGTGTAAGTTTCCTGCTCCTCCAGCTGTCATAAAAATGTCCCGGTTCTGGGGCAAATGTTTCACCTGCCAAATTGTTGATTTATGAACCTAGAAAAAGGAATGAATGAATAAATTTACCTAAAATTGAAAAATATAGTACAAAGCTACAAAGAACACTGAGCAAAAATAGGTCAAATCTGTCCCAGTGTTACAAGAGTTACTTAACTAACGGTTAAAAAAAACATAATGTACAAGAAGGTGAGCCAAACATCTGTCTGGCTCAAATCCATTACCTTTTCAGAAACAGAGGCAAAGCCCTTGGCAGAGTGTTGTGTCCTCAAGTCAAAAACATGGAATTTTCCCTCCAGTGAGGTGGCCACCAACTTGTTCATGTTAATGTCTTTTCTGTCAAATTCTACACAGCATACCTAAATATCAGGTGTTAAATAAGGTAAATGCAGGAGCAGGTTAAACAGAGATATACTGAACCAAGGAGTAAGCCACAATTAAATGAAATCAGACATTAAAACAATTTAGAACATTAACAGCTTACCCCATTCTTAATGTTGGTCTCCCATCGTAGAGACATGTTTCTCAGGTCGAAAAGTTTGATGTCTCCATTATCATAACCAGCACAAACACAGCGGTCCTGGTCATTAAAGGCATGCCCTAAATATAGAGAAAAGTTGTTGGAAGGCTATTAGTAACCATTCCCATTGCATTGGTCAACTTTTAGCTTAAACCAAAATTACAAACCAAATGCAACAGTCCAGCAGTCCCGCTTGGTCTCTCCTTCGATAGGCTCCATGTTGGCAACAGGTGTATCTCTTTGTCTAGGATCCCATACCTTAACAGTTCCTGACAACCGAAAAATATGTTTTATAAAATTAGTCTAGGTATGATATACATGTTTCAGGACTAAATTATCTTTTACCGTCTCTGCTTCCAGTGACAATCTCTGGTGCTCCATCACCAATCCCTAAACCACCAACTCCATCAATGCAGTTAATTATCTCTTTGTGGGCTTTAGCTGAGTAAACTGCTACTTCAGGGGTCTCTAGATTCCTGATGAGAGCAGGCACACACATTCAAAACAAACTGATGTTACAAATGACAAAAATAAGAATAGAATAAAATATGGGGATTTGCCTACCATATGTTGAGATTTCCATCAAAATCTCCCGTTGCTATGTGTCTTTGTTGAAGTGATGTGGCCCCATATGTACCACATTTTATAGGCTTAGGTTTCTCTACCTATAAAATGTTCACCAACAGCACCAAACCAAAGAGAAGAAATATGTAAAAATTAAATTACAGAACATTGGCAAGAGCTGTAGCACGTTTTTTTGTGCCCTGTTGCTATGGAAACGAGCCCAAACCAGTTGAGACCTTTGTCCTCTTAAGTTACATTTTCTAACATTTGTACAGACACAACAAAACCGCAAAATGGGCAAATATAACGCAACTTACCTCCTTCACGAGTTGAGCTTCCCCATGTTGTACTTCATATATCTGCATAACACCTGTTCCTCGGGCAAAGTTACCTAAACAGACAAACTTGGCGCTGCAGGGAATCCATTTGGAGTCAAACACCGTGTAGTTTAAACTTTTCTGTATATGCGCAATTATCTGTGGCTTTGCTAGCGGCGATGACATATTTTAGTTGTTGTGGAATCCCTGCAAAATGTGCCAAGGAACGAAGAAACGATCAGGAAATTGACCATAAATATCTATAGCGTTTCACGACTGAATCCCACTGCCAAAACATATGACGTCTAAATGTCGAACTGCTGAAGGATGGCTGTCCAAGATATGCCTGTAAACAAATTATAACTGAGATGAGAATTTAACATACTTACAAATGATAAAAAATATACAAACATAAATAAAAACTCGTTAAATTGTCCTTATAAGATTATCTGAGGTTTGTAATTATTTCTGTTACACATTTCACAATTTTCAGTAACATGCAGCAGTAACGTAGTTTCAGGGGTCCTTTCACTTGCACGAGGATCCCCAAGCTCGTCGCATTTACAGTCTATCTAAGTAATTTGTGATTTTAAACATTGAAATCAAAATACACTATGGATTTAGACAAGACCACAGCTTGTGAGAGTGCGGTGACAGGGGAAAATCAAGAGGATTCGGAGTCTTTCACCAAAGTAAAGTCTAAAAAGACGCAAAAAAGGAAACGAGAACAAGATGGAGTAGACATGGACACAGCTGACTCTGTGGCATGCAAGAGACCACAATTTCCACCAATCTCTGGCGATCAACTGAGGGTAAGGAGGTTAATGTTCTCATGTCGCTTTGCTATTTAACCAACTTTGAAATAAATAGTAATAATCAATAATAATAATAATAATAATAATAATGGGGGTTGTCTTATTTAGTATAGTGCGCGTGCGCACTACGGACTTGAAATTGTATTTTTTTTCTTTTTAACTTGTTCACAGTATATACCATACTATCAGTATCAGATTTGAAACACTTATATAATATATTCTTGTCATAATGATAACTGTATTTTAGGAACGTGTTATCCTGTCTAACCATATGAGCGTCGTTTGTTTCTTTGTTATGAAAACCTCTATGCTCATCTGTTCCAGGGACCAGATGAGATGCGTAAAATTGCAGTACCAGCTCACAGATATACCCCTTTAAAGGAGAACTGGCTTAAGATTTTTACCCCTATTGTTGAGAATCTACAGCTGCAAGTCAGATTCAACCTGAAAACTAGAAATGTTGAAATCAAAGTAAGTTATAATTTGAAGTGCATTATTTGCTGGATTACCATAATTATGGCATGGCATTTGTTACTATGACATTTTTTACAGACATGTAAAGAGACACAGGATATAAGTGCTTTAACTAAAGCATCAGATTTTGTGAAAGCATTTATTCTCGGATTTCAAGTTGAAGTAAGTTTACCATTTAAAGGCATGATTTTGGCTCTATATTGGCACTTTCGTTGATTGGCAGGTGATTACGTTTTGTTTTCTCTGCAGGATGCCTTGGCTCTCATCAGATTAGATGAGCTTTTCCTGGAGAGCTTTGACGTCACAGATGGTAATAATATCGTAATTTATATAATTGCTTTGTTGTGATACTTTTGTATGTGTGTAAAGAAAGGAATATTTATTAACCACATAGTTTTTTGCAGTGAAACCTCTAAAGGGAGACCACTTATCTCGGGCAATAGGAAGAATAGCAGGGAAAGGTGGAAAAACAAAATTTACTATTGAAAATGTCACAAAGACACGTATTGTATTAGCTGACACGTAAGTTCCTTTGTTTTTTTCTTTTTCTTTCTGTGTCCCATTTATTTTATATGTATATTTTTCCCCTCATAGAAAAGTTCACATATTGGGGTCCTTTCAAAACATCAAAATGGCAAGAACAGCAATTTGTAATTTGATATTGGGTAAGTTTTTGGTTTAGTTCTTGAGCAATTGCACTGCTAGAGTTGTCAAACTGATGTGAAATGACCTTTCAACACTTTTGTCCCCTACAGGAAGTCCACCTTCAAAGGTCTATGGCAATATCAGAGTGGTGGCCAGCAGGACGGCAGAGCGATTCTGAGCATCGATCTGTTACTGTCAATGTGCTTTCCGCTTACTGGTGGATTTCTCATCTGTGAAGACCTTTTAGGCTGTTGGCAACACTTTCCTGTCCATACATACAAGTCTTATATGTACCTGGACTAATGGCAGGAACAAATGTACTGGTGTTTACATTTACACAGTGAGCATCAAGTGATATGTAAATAAATAAATTACAATGTTTTGAACTTCCAACATTTCAAAGTTTATTTAAATTTTAATTTTCATACAGTATCAAGTTTCCAACAGTCCCACAGCATAAGATGCAGCATGCAGAAAAAGGAAAATAAAAGGTTCTCAAACTGAAAATTGTTCATATCCCCACACAAACTAAAGATCCCAAGTCCCTCAGAAAAAAAGCACTTACAAACTAAAGCGCGGTCTGAACTATACAGAGAGCCAGAACTGCAGTTAACAAATACTTATATACAAAAGAAAGAAAAATAAACATCAAATTTCCCCTTTAAGCTGAGTACAGTGTGTGGCAGTTTGAGACAGGATCAGATATGCAACTTTACTGGAATAGAAGCATCTCGCTGACCCTGTTAAAATACAAAAAGTTACATGAAGTTCATTTCATTTGGATTACCTCTCATAATATGTGTACATTTACCAAAGTTTGGCAACATCCATATTGTATACGATTTAATTTTAAATATATTAACATCACCATTCATGTGTAAACAAGAGGATTATTTCAAAAATTGATCTACATGCACAACAAAAAATATATTTCATGTCATGCAAGCACAGGGAGGCCCAAGCCGTGCAGAGCTTTGGGATAAGGGACAACAGGGCACTCCAGATTCATATATTGGACTGAAAACATCCTCAAAAAGCTATCCCAAAGTCATTTAGAGTAGGAAGCAGTTTCCCTTCTAAATCAAAATTTGGTTAAATTCATGTTTTGTTTCTCCCTGTTTGTCGTAGTGGGAGGTAGGGGGAGAAAATGAGGTGATTGTGACACACTATAAGTGGGAGAAGCCAACTTTTGAAATGTACACAATAAAATAATTTTTTTTTTTAAAATCAAATAAAAATATACAGTCTACCCCACTGCACACTGATCATGGCCCCGTTTCAAGAAGCAGGTTTAATCCAAAGTCAGACTTTGTCAACCCTGAAAAAAGTTTTCAGTTTCAGTTAGCCTAAATCATGATGAGTCGGTCATCATGGTAACTCACTGTGAACCTAACCTGGTCCAGGGCAGGTTTTATTCCTCTAACCCTAAGTTTAACCAGAGTTTGCTCCTGAAGGAGAGCTCTGATTGGACCAATACCAATTTCACAAATTAATAAGGCTTGACTGAAGTTCAATGATTTGACTTGTATTAATTTACAGTTTACATTTGTTATAATTAAGCTTAATGAGCTACAAAGCACTCAACATCTTAGATTTGTTAAAATTGTTACTAATTTAATTAAAACATTTAAATATAAAAAAATATGATAAATTGAATGGGCTGAGCCACATTACTTTATACCTGACTGATCTGTCCAAAGCACAATCCACTCACAAGACTTGGCTGTCCCCCTAAGATGAAAGCCTCCTCTGGTTTACCGTTGTCATGGTGAATCCTCTTTCCTGGAATCCATTGATAAAATCTTGTCTCCTCTGCTAAACTCAGGGTTTTCTAACTCTGCTCCAAACCTGTTTAGTGAAACAGAAAACTGGGTTGTCAGAATTAAATTTTAAACCTCCTTTGTGAAACCACGACCATGTTGACATTTAGTATTAGGTCTTTCTGCGTAAGAAAAGTGTACCATCCTGCTTTGGACTGAGAGATGTATGAATTCAAAGGCTCATGTAAAGCAAACGCATACTGGTTAAAAAACGCTGCCTTCAGAGAAGTCTCTTAAAATTGCTATAAACTTGCACAAACAGTGTATATTCACACATTTTATAGGTTCCTAGCCAAGTCCACATCATCCAGCACCTGCATTTAGCTTAAAAAAAAATCATCAAGCCAAGAGTTAGTTAACAAGAACGCAGCGCTATTAAGATTGTCTTGTGGATGCACAAATGCAAAATTCTTTGAAACACAAGTAAACCATATAATCAGTTGCAGCCACAAATCATTTTGGAAAGACATTTTCTTGGCATATCTATCTATAAATCCATAACGACAAACAAGGATAATCTCCAACAATATAAACATGTTAAGTATAAATAAAACTATTAAACGTATTACAAAAAGAAACCTATCATGTGTTGCTTTGCCAAGTGTGACTGGAAGCGTTGCTGTTCTAATCCAGACAGGTAAAAACAGAATACCAAAAATGCCAGAAAAAAAAAGAATTTAGATTTGTATGTGGTGACAGTTGGAAGTGTTGTCAGCGGCAAAAATGGGTTAATTACTTGGACTGGTTCTGGATATGTTCTGGTTGGCACTTCATACCCTACTTTCTAGTTGTACTGTAAGTCAAGTGTTGATTTACTATACACTCCCCCTCACGAGACAACCACAGATATACTTATTTTTTATTCTTTATAAAAGACAACAAAAATAAATATCAAAAATAACAATTAACAAAAAAGAAAGGATGAAATATGAACAAGCCAACCAGCCTCTTCACTGAGCCCCCATTTCCCCACTTTCTCCCCCCTCATCCAAAGTCAGATGCTCCTGCAACAGACACATGGATGTCCTTCAGTCTCTTAAAGTGCTACGACCGGGTTATTGAGAGGATTAGACAGTCCAATAACACTTCGAAGTTGGCTTCACGAGGCCTGTGGTTTTTCTGAAAGAAAAAAAGTGGCTTCACAGAGAAAAGAAAGAACGAGAGAATACTTCCATTAAGTTACACAGAGCATTTTGCCGGACGTCTTGAGCAGATCTTCAGAGATGGTGGAGAAAGCGAGTGTCAAGGAGGAAGGGCCAGGGACGCAGCGAGCACGGCTGCTCACACATCCACCACCATCTTTTTGTGTATATCGAGACCTCCCACCACCTGGACACACAAAACAATATATAGCATTAAAAACACTTAATACCCTGCGCTGCTAGTTTATTTGGTTGGTATATTGTAATTGTTAAATTCATTCTCACCCAAACCTTGCAAAAATGTCATCTACTTTAAAAACCTCCAAGTTTTTATTCATCTGATGGACAAGAGTCCCCTCATCAGCAACACTGTGCATGTGTGTGTGTATGAATTTTTGACCTTACACTGAAAAATCTAATGTAACATAATTACTGCATAACATCAGGTATATGCTTAGTGTAAGAAATGCAGAATCCATGACGTTTACAGGGGTCACAGGATTATAGACCCTTACCTAGATGAGGTGACCCCCACTGATCAGTCTGTGCCCTAGCCCTATTCAACCAGAGCCGTCCATAATTCTGTATAGCAGAAGTAGAACCTTAAAAAGACTTTGCATACCAGCCGGCATGTTCTTACAAATATGATTTCTATAAACTGTATTATGCCCTACTTTAAAAGACATTTGTTGCAGATTCCTTCTTATGCAATGGTGATATCAGGGATGACCCAAACCGCATGAGTCACTTTGCTTTGAAGTGCCTCAACAGTGCTGCTTTGTTAAAACAGGGTCCAGCGGTCTCCTGTGGCATCCTGAAAATACTCTCCCGGAAGAACAAGCAGCTTTTTAGTTCAGGACTCTGGAGAGGCAGCCGTCAGAACTGGGCCTCGTCTTCACTGTGCTGTCTTTGATTCAGGGACAAGACTGTGGGCGACACAATGTGGCTTTGGAGAGAGACAGATATAATGGATTTGAAAAGGAAGCCTAAATTATCATCCAGCTGCCCCACACTGTACAGAGCACAAGTGATACATGTCATGTAAATCATGTTATGAAGCTGCTGTTTCGAGCATAACTTTACAAGTTTAATAATGTACTTCCAAAATTACTGAACCATATTTCAGACCACACAGACCAAAACTTTCAACCTTCATGTATCACATTAACTCTATAATACTGCAGACTGAGCTTCTCCATAACTCTGCTTTTACCAAGATATTTTCAACAAATCATCAAGCCATCACAATTTAATAACCTCTACATTACAGCCAATCTTCCTGTTCGAACTCAAATTTTTATGTATTCTCTTCCTTTACAATCCATGCGGTCCTATGCAAGTGCAGCTCTCTTCACAGGTCTTTATTCCTCTACATGCACTAGAACTCTGCAAATCAAGTTAGAAGTTTCACTAAAGCATAATATACAGCCAGCAAGCCTAAAATCAAATTTACCCCGAACTCCTCCAGGCACAAACAGACACTTGGGGGAGTTAAACTTGTTTCACTGCGGTTTGGTGGATCTCAATTGAATATTTGGAGCATATAGCAGCTTAACACCTCTAGTGTTGTTTAAATGAAGTCATTTATGGGGCAGATATTATTTCCAGGCAGTGAAGATTCCCACAGTGCTACAGAGAGCACAACAGCACCGAAAATGACTATACATTACAACTAAAGACTGAGAATATATCTTGCTTAAAAATCTATTAACCTGCTCACCTCTCCACTGTCTTGAATAATGCCCTTTATCGCAAAAGCTCTTCCCACACCTTTTCCAATTTACACTGGGCTGTTTTACTGAGTATTACTGTTTAATACAGGCACATTTTAGAGTTTAAACTACAGTTGTGGAGATAAAATGCAGTACGTGAAATACTCAGCAGGCATGTAGCCAACGGGAAACATCACACAGCCGAGCAGTTAGAATTAGGGCCTGGCTCCACTGCACGCATCAGCATTTACACGTGTAACCACGCGAAACCACAGCTGTGTGTCAACGCAAAGGCGGCTCCACAGGCAGCTCCTGTAGGATGTACATGTGCGGCACTGGCTCTATGTTTCTTAATGGGAAAGCCGATCATACTCGACTGGGCCGTTTAGCCTCTTGTATCAGGTCCACAGTGAAACTAACAGCTGAACAGACTTGTATTTACCATCTGTACAGGCTCACCAGGTCAAATGCAAGGATTTCAAAAGTAAATTTTAAAGCACTAATTAACAGTCTTTCTGGACCTTGGCTCTTTTACATAACACAAAACTGCCCTGGGAGCACACTGTGGTGATGGTAAAAGCACAAATACAATAATAGATGCAGGCTCTCTATGTATTTTGACAGGGATACGTGGCTATGCTTGCATAGAGCGTCAAAAAATAGGATGGATCCCATTTTCTGAAATCTATGTGCACATGACGTGCTGCTCCATATGTGCATCTAGCGCGTACAGTGGAGTCAGATTCATTACTTTCAATGCATTCTAAAAGTTACACGTCCAAAAGTGGCAGTTTTTACGATTGCGTAGGGTGAAATACACGGGCAGTGGAGCCAGACCCTTAGACCTGTCACAATAAAAGTTTGAAATCTGCTACAAAAAAATAAGAGGTAAGTTACTGTGTTAGTGGCATAAAGTAGACATTTTTCTGAATTTACAATACCAATTAAAGTGAGATGCAACAAACACAAAGCCAGCACTTTTGAACTATAGATTACAGAACTTGTACCACATACTTATTCTTAAGTCTCTACAGCTCAAATCTTATTGTACTACAAAAAGTCCTAAAATATATTCCATTTGTCATTTAAGTGGACATTCCAATGGGCCTAAAGCCAATATTTGAACTTACTGCACAGAATTCTTCAAAGGATATCCTGCCGTCTCCGTCCTTGTCTGCGTTTATAATGGTCTTGTCCACGATCTGCTGGAGCTGTGTGTCCTTCAGGTTGTTGCCTACCATCATCTTGAGCACCTGGAAGAGCTCGCCGTTGGAGATGTAGCCATCTTTGTCCATGTCGTAGATCCTGAAAGCAACTGAGTAGAGTGCAGTTGTAAAATTAGTACTGCTGATGTGTTGCATAAAGCTTATGCTTATCAATCTAAATAATCCCTCGACTTATATTTAGTTGCTTTAAAAAGGTGCAATGTATAACATTTCTAGTGGAAGGTCTGTCACCTGCCTGTCTCCATGGAAATGCTATTGCTTTGTCTATCACAAGGAGGTCACAGCATTACGCAACATTACAATTTAGACCTGTAGAAAGTCAACCTATTCACAGAAGGAACTGTTGTATTTTTGAGCAATAGAAACACCTGTAATGAATAAATACTAAATGAATAAGTTAAACATTATACTATGGAACATTCCAGGAAATATAAATAATAACATCTCCATGGAGATAAGCAAGTGACGTATTCTCCACCAGAAAAGTTGTGCATTAATTACAGAGAATATGAAGAGAATGAAGCTCACACAGACTCAGTATTACAGTACAAGTACTTACATCGGAGCTTCTGTTCTTTGTCCCCTTTAACACTAAACTGTGAGACTCCCTCAATGAATTCTGAAAAAGAGGAAATATTTTAAGAGTCAAAACACTAAATATACCATACAAACACATGACTCAGTTTTATAATTTGGCGCAAATGCAATTGACTTTCTGTAGAGTCGACACAGTAGTATCCAGGATCCAACTATAATTAGAAACTTGAACAGACATGTGTATTACATCATCATTGTTTCCTACCAGTTTACGAGACTATTGCCCCGCCAATAAAAAAAAAAAAAGGACTGATTACAGATGGAATAAATTTACATTTCTCTTTATATCTATATCTGTATCTGTATATGTATATGGATAAAGACTGATATACAGATGTACATTCATATTAGTAACAGTCCTTTTACTCTATTATAAAATGTCAACTAGTCCTGTGACTTAACGGGCTTTGCTTTAAAAAGGTCCTATATAACACAAAATGGATTCTTGTGAGGTTCAAGCCAAGTTATAATGTTGTCACCTCCTCAAAAACTTACCAAGAGTTGTGTTTTGTTTCATTTACACATATTTGAGTAGTCCTTTATTATTATGGCAACATCTCCAAAGCTCAAAATGCTATGTTCCACCTTGTGATGTCATGTAGTGGTCATTTTGAAGTTAACAGCTCCTTTTATCTTTTGTTCAACAGAGACTGTAAATTCCAGGGCTAAAATCACCACAATGATCCTAGTGAAGGTGTATGGAGTTTAAAAACACAAAAGAGCACATCCTGTATTATCACATGGCATCACAAGATGGAACAGTGTGTTTTTTGTTTGAGAGAAAAACTCAAAATAAGTCTAAATATGCAAGGTTTGTGAGTTAAACATGTGAATGAAACAAAACAACACAACTCCAGGTATGTGAACAGCATTATAACAGATCAGAAAATAGTGTAATAGTATAAACTGATGGTTGAAGTAGTCAATATTAAACTGTCATAATATTGCAATTGAAAAACTAGACAACAGAACTAGCACAATCCAAATTAATCAGATTTAAACTTGTTAATAACCCTGAGTGCCATGATCTGACCACAGCAGTTGGAAGCAGTGCCCACCTTTAAAGTCCACCTCTCCGTTCCCGTCCGTGTCAAAGATATCGATGACCCTCTGCACCAGCGGGTTCTGTTGGAGCTCGGGCAGTGACATGAACTCCTCCACGCTGAGAGAGCCTGAGTTATCTAGGTCGAGTTTCTTAAACCTCTTCCCTAGCCTCTTAATCTCATCAGCATCGACTGCACAAAGACAAAGAAACAACAAAGAAAATATGGATCAGACATTATGAAATACATTATCACAGATCAGGTGGTCCTTTCATGCAGTTCAATCCTAGATAGAAGTAGCACATACACAAACATGGTACTCACATTTATAAGTAGTATTGTTTAAATCTTTAAATATAAGTCAAGTTTACATCTTCATGCTATTCATGGGTTTTCAGAAGATGGAAGACTATAACAATTAACAATTTGAAATAAAACAGTGTATCTTGTGAATGGGAAAAAGTCTAAAAATGTTGCATAGAGCAGGATGCTGAAACTCATTAATATATCACCTGGGGAATGCAAACAACCAAATAAAACATTTGTGTGACAAATTATATATTATTAATGCAAATAACTTTTCTCCTACCAGCCCAAAAATTTAAACATAAAAAAATTTCTAATTTACAAAAAATTACAAAAAAATTCAATTAAAAAATTCCAACTTACATCCTCTCTGTCCTTGTGCCATGAGAAACTATCTGTTGTATGCTCCAACAATGGGCAGCAATAACACAGCGGGCTGTTAATTACACTATAAGCTCATTCACACAGTCAGGTGATCTCATTAGCCAACCACCACCTACTACTCAGAGCACCTAATCTGGGATACTAAATAACCCAGCCGGCTATCTATTAATCTAACCTAACAGACACAAGAGTACGGAGGAGCAAGGCGGATTTATGGTACAGTACAGGGCAGTTTCATTTTATTACCCCTTTATTACAGAAGGACATTGACGAGAAGGCGAAGGAGGAGATATGATGAAATGGAAGACACTACGTAAGTACGTATATGATGGAAACTGTTCTCATGGAAAGTCTTGTAGATTCAAAGTTCTCATGTATTTTATTGTGCAGGGCATTTTTATACAGTGGTGTCAGATGTAAAAGTATTTCAGGTGACGTGATAAAAGTGAGGTGGAAAAAAGTGTTCGGCAGGGTGAGTAATAAGAGAGAGAGAGTCCTAAGGACAAGCGGGACAGACAGAAACAAAGAAAGAATCAACATTAAAGCATTATATCCTAATATGTTGCTGTTCATATGGTAAAGTTCATTTGTCCTTCTCTGCCTCCTATATGATGTTTTTCATGGAGCCAAATCACAAACAATTTAATCACAATAAATCATTGTACATTTTTAGTGCACAACGGGCTGATGTAAATTATATATATACAATAGTAACGGGGTTTCAATTAGCACAAAATCCCTTGGTGAGCTACTTGGAAGGAGGTGGAGAGATACTGGTAGCTCCTGAGCTACAGGTTGGAGACTCCCCGAGTTAATCTTTATTTAGGCACGCCTCTAATAAATTGATGCTTTGTTAAAAAGCATACAACTCTGGCATCTGTTTAAAAACAAGTTTACTGAACTCCAGTTATACTGGATTTCTGTAATTCTGACTAGCCAAACCAAACACCAGATTCACATTAAACACAGGGCATGTTTGGCACGTATTACTGCCCCAGAGGCTGTGTGTTTTCTGGAATCCAGGTTTGTGCAAGTTCACACAAAAACATCCATTTATACAGAAAAGTGCTAGTGAACCATGCATTTGTATGTAAAATGCATGTTAAACTCAAAACTCCTCTTCAGCTCCTTCTAATCACAACTCCAAAGTGGATCTATTGTCTTCCTTCCATGATACTGACCTGAGATTTTTCCATGCCCTTGTGTCTAGTTTGTGTGTTGTTTGTCCCTAATGTTTACATCAGTGATTCACATAGTTACCACGGGGGTAGGGAGGGTTTACTCAAAACAGGAAAAAAAAATCTGAGCTGATCTTTGATTTAAACATGTTCGGACATATGAGTAACTAATGACTTGAAATAAAAGAGAACATATTTTTATCCATTTCCAATACTGGTGCGAGTACAAATGTCTCTGCCCTCTGACACTAAACACGTCCTGATCAGATGCCTCTTGTTTCCTGTTCACAGCACATGTCACCATCCTGTATCATAACACTTCAGCTACTGCATACCCCCAAGAGGATTTATTACTTGCTAGTTTGCTCAGCAGCATCCATAAAAATTAAACAAAGCCTCTCATTTCTGTGTGGGCGTAAAAGGCAGCCAACAACTGGAATGGCACTCTCTTTTTTATTGGCAGATTAACTTGTTATTAAAATGCAGTTGTCAACAAAAGCCCACCATTTCAGGAGAGGTGTAATGGTACAAAAGGTGCTATAGGCCGATCTGCTTCACAGACTGTTAATATCTCAGTCTTCCTCAAAAGCAGACAGCTGTATTGGCTTTTATGGCCAATGAGATGCAAACTTTTGATTCATCCATCCAATGTCAAGCATCAGAACAGAGGGCCCATAGCTGCTCCTGTGTGGACGTGCCAAGTGGGTAGGTATGGATTATTCATACTCTGAGGAGGACAGCAGCTTTCTCAGTGTCCAACCAACAAGTCTGTGTGCCAGCTTCACAGGCAGACATGCTCCAGGCTGAACCCAGTCAAACATTGCTCAGATACAAGGAAACACGACGCTACTTTGGACAGCTACAAAGATACTTTGGGAAACACTGGGCATTCAATTATAAGACTATAATATAACTTTGTATTATTCAATCTTTTTGTTTCAAGAACCCTCCGAGGCTTGCTATTACATTTTGCTCGGGTACTAGGCAAATAAATCAGTTTACTATAGTATGTTATTATTACAATCATATTTTCTTTTTTTGTTTAAGTATGTGTATAACACTTGTAATGATCAATTTTTTCCTATATCTGCTACCCTTGTTGGACAGCATTACTTTTCATTTTTTGAGAGTATCAATATCAGAATATATTTTGGCAGGAACAGTATTGTGCCAAAGTGAGCCTTTAAAATCAATTGGTTAAGGCTGAAGTATCAAACAAATGTGAAAAGCCTATAACATTACCGACAAACAGTTAACCCTCTTCATCTTAAATCCTACTGTGCAGTTTGCTCTACTTCACACACCAGTGTAGCCCCAGATGAGTAGCTTCCAAAACTATATTCTTACACTGCCCCAAAGTCCAATGCAGTAGACAGACTTGTGACCCCTTGTGGCCAGATAGTGCAGGCTACAGTGGAGGAACCAAAGGGATGAAATGCTGTCCTCTTGTGATGTGTGAGAGAAAGTGTGAGTGGAGCGGCTGTACACTTGTACAGGCTCCTCACACTGTTATGCTAATGAGCGGCTCTGAGGGAGACCCAGTGTAACTGTGAGATGGTTATGATAATCTCATATACTTCACAGACCAGCACAACACAAGCACACGGACATGATGGCTACACGCACCCTCCACTGTTACTAGGCAACAGGAACCAGTTAGCCCCACAAATAGCCCACACATCCACAGTGTACTTGCAGACAGGCTCGCTAATCTGAGTTCACAACACACAACATACCACACCACTCAATTAACCTGGAATGCTAAATGTCAAGTCCCTGTAGATTAATAAGATCTCTGTCAAGCCTATGGTGAGCTAATCAAAAACAGGCCTCTTTTTGTCATCCAGTTCTTCGGTTGCATCATATGTGGCATTTACTGTGGAGAAATATTGAATTTGGGACAATACAGCTAAATAAATGTTTCATCCATACAAATCAATAGCCATTACTACATACAGGCCCTTTAGAGTGAGCATGCTCAAAACACTGTATGAAGGAAAAATCTGACACAGATTCCCGTCCAATTTGGGTTTAATTATGAAACACAATGTTCCTAAAATGCCATTAATGACTGTGTCCTCTTAAGCGCGGCCAGCCCCAGACAGCTCAGCTGCACATTAGTGGAGACATGTGACTGCATTAGCACCGTTAGCCTGAACCGGGGCCATCAGGCTGGCCCGTCCACGCCGAGCAAAATGCAGCCGGCATGTTAGCAATAATTGCAGCCAAGGGCCTGCTGTATATAGCACATCAAATACACAAGATAAGATGTGAGGGGGCCAAACACGAGAAGGTTACATGCTCAGTAATCACACAAGTTTGACACAAGACACCGCTCAATTAGCATAATGAGGTTTCACTGAGCAAATGGCATCCCTGACAGGGGAGCCCAAAGTGACCAAGAAAATGGGCCAGAGGGAAGTAGGGCAAAGAAGTCCTAATAACATGTTAAACAAATCTTAGCGGGCAACTCCACCACCACAGACTTTAGATAAACCATTTTTCCTTCAACCTTATCTCATGTAGCGGCCGGCAGCACAATGCTGTGTGGGCTGCAATAGACCCATTGCTCTGGCTGCCCTTATACTGTTGGTCTTTGAAACATGGGCCAAGCAGACCACTGAGACAGCAGCTCTGACAGAGGGTATTTATAGTCATGGCGTCATGAGAAAACCCCCACCCCTCCCCCCACACTGGCAGACCTGGCTACCGCCCTCCGGGAAACCCCTAGCAACAAGGAACTAGCAACAAGCCACCGCATATTATTTTAAGTGGCGTAGACACAACTGGTGTGTTATGAGTTAAAAATAAATGTATATTTTTCAAGGCCCCTCATGTTGAATTATGTAGCATGCAGTAAAACCAGGATAAACATTTTTACAGAACAGTCAAAAGTGATCAATTCCATACAATTTCTAGTCCTCCAGGATGTCCTCTCTCTAAAAATAAATGGGTCAGGTGGCGTGGTTTGTGCAACTTTTATTAATCAACAGAAGAATCGTGAGATTAAAATCAGTGTGATTAGTGTGTATCTTCTGTGTTTTTGGGCTGTTCTGCGACACCATAGATGAAAAGGTTAGGGTTTGTGGTGCTCCTCTGACCAGTGTGTTTGAGTCCATTTCTTCACAGCCATTGCTCTGCCTGTCCAAGAACTTGATGAGCTGAACAGCTGCTGTGTTAGCACAAGGCAAAGGCTCTGAATAGAGGCTAAAGGAGGACTGGAGCAGCAACAAGATAACTTATTATGCAGTAAAAGGATTACTCATATCATGTACTTCATATTTAATACAAACTACATTGTAAGGGCTTTGGTGTGTGTGTGCTTGTGTGTCCTTGAGTTTTTGATAGCAAAAAGGTTCTACACTGATGGTACCAATAGCTATAAGAAACACACAGGCAGTGGTCCCACAGCAGATTTTAAAAGTTCAAGTGATGGCCTGTCCTGTGACCATGGGGCTAATCCTTGAGGGGAATGCCGCACAGGCCGAACAGGCCAAGGCCTCCTGGCCTCCACAGCGCTGGTACACTAGTACAGTACACTACAGTAGTACACACTGAGGTCTACAGTTACACATTGTGTCCACAGCCCTCTCTCAAACAGGATGTGACATTTGGGTGCTTTGCTTGAGTAACCGTGAGTAACCACGAGTAACGTTGCAGCAGGAATGACTACACTACAAACCAAGACATAATGAGGTGATGAGGACTGCTCCACACCCATTCATTAGACACATGTAACAACAGTGTAACTTTACTGAGCCTGAACATGGAGCTCTGCTGTAGAGCATCTGAAGAGCTGTCAGCGACATCAGCGCAGAAAACGCTCAAACACTGTTGATTCACATCAGGTGGAGAAGGTTAAGGAGGCGGACAAAGCACAATGTGAGTCATTCCCCCAGCTCTCCTCTCAAATGCTCAGTTACTTAAACATGCAAATCAGGCCGAGCGGGTATTCCATGAAGTGAGATAAAGCCAAAGCCTGGCTCATTTGGGCAATCCAGGCTCATCAAATCCACAGCTATGTTCTACTAACATGGCTAACCAGAGTTGGCATTGAGCTGCTGGACCATTTTATTAATAGGATCTTGCGCATGTACTAGTTTTTAAATAATAAAGTGGTCCTATTCAAATAAAACATGTAATTTAATTACAATGTGAAAATACAATAAAGTAAGCCTACATTTTTTGCTGTGTATTTTATGCTGCACTGACAGACGTAGGTTTGAAGCTAGAATTCATCACGTCTCTCCTCTCGTCTCTCCCTGTCAAACCATCCACATAAGTTTGGATTTGATTGACCAATTCTCGTTACATGCACAGTTCCATTAGAACATTACTTTTACAGATTGACACACTCACACACAAGACACTTTTACTGCACGTCGGGAAACAACATGCAATTCTGTAGAGCTGGGATGTCAAACTCAAATTCACAGAGGGCCAAAATTAAAAACTCAGACTAAGTTGTGGGCCAAACTAAATATTTATTGAAAAATTTCCACAACATCTGCATGTTTTCTCTTCTTTTGAGATATGTAATGTTAAACCTTTTCTTATTAAAATAAATGTTTAATAATAGTTTTGCTTAAACATTGAATCCAGATAAATCATAATATTTTATAAATATATATATAATAATATAATAATTTATAAATATTTTTTATTATTTTAACATTTAACATTATTAACATTTTAAATAATTAATGTCACTATAGCCTATCTGTAGCTGACAGGCAGCTCTAATACATATTTGATATGACGTTGTGGGCCAAATTTGGCCCCCGGGCCTGAGTTCGACATGTTTGCTGTAGTGGAATGGGAGCCTCATCTTTCTCTCTCTCCCTGCGTACTCCTCTCGATCAGTCACATCATTAATAACCTCATGACTGATCATCGTTTTAAGATAATTTAGTCAATTTTTAGCTAATGATCTGACCTTCATAAATTAAATAGGGAACGTGCACAAAGTGCATCTTAAACCTCAGACTTGAAATAGCACTCGTCAGACCCAGACTTATTTCATGCAACAACTCGAGGTTTAAACTGGAGATGGAGGTAGTTTCATTTTATGATTAGGATAAAACTGGACTTGTTAAATGATTTATGGAATACCCCATATTTGCTATAGTGAGCACAAAATACAGCAATTACTGTTCAATTAATAACTGTAAAAACATCTCAGCAATATTTTTACATTCAACCTCAATAATGTGAAAAAACACACATCACACAGAACAGCCAATGTATAGTATAACATATACTTACAATGCGAGCACATCTCCAGGGGATAACTGGCTTCATTTCCCTAAGAACAAACAAACAAAACAAAAAAAAGTAAAAATTTTGACAGACAATTGGGTGCAGTAAATAAGTCTCAATATAATAAAATGAAAAAAGTGAAACTTCAAGATATGGCACAGTAAGCAGAATGGGACGGGAGAAGTTTACTTTACATATACATTACATTTTGCATAGAAAACATCATTTCAAATAACATAACAAAAAGAGCTCAAATAGCCACAATTCATGTACATTTTTCTTTGTGCCAGACTCTCTTTCTCTGCAATGTGGTTTGTGTGGTGGCTCACTGCGCATACAGTGTGTGTCTCTTTGGCTTATGTACTGCAGCCACATCCGCAGCTCATCCCGTCCAACACTGCAGCACTGTCCACGAGCCCTCACCCGACTGCTGCCAGAGGCCACAGACAACTCTGTGGGAGGGACAGGCCAGGCGAGGGAGACACCAGGGGAGGGAGGGAAGGGAAGGGAAGGGAGGGGATAGACAAGGAGAGGTAGAGAGGGAGGGGAGAGACAAGGGTAGGGAGGGAGGTAGGGAGGGAGTAGGGAGGGAGGGAGGGAGGAGGGAGGGAGGGAGGGGGGAGGGGAGAGACCAGGTGAGAGACCAGGTGAGGGAGGGGAGAGACAGGCCATGGGAGGGAGGGAAGGAGGGAGAGAAGGGAGAGACCAGGGGAGGGAGAGGAGAGCCAGACCGGGAGGGGTGGGAGGGAGAGACAGGCGAGGGGGTGGGAGGGAGGGAAGGGAAAGACCAGAGGAGGGAGGAGAGAGATAAACTAAGGGAGGGACAGAGAGGGGAGGAAGGGGAGGTAAAGGGGGGCGAGCCGGGAATCCTACAGCTGACACGGAGCTGGGCCAGTGCACTATTGAACAGGACTGCCCTGCAACACCATCGAGGAATGCCACGCAACACTATCCAAGATAGCAACAAGAGCTAGCCCCAGAGATGAAAAAGCTCTGAGCAAATGATTACAATACATCATGTTTATGGGAGACATTGACAGGGCTTTGCTGTTCTTCAATGCTGTGCACAATATTCTTGCACTGAATAAAAATGCAAACATAGCTTTTGTTTTGTTCAGATGTTTCACACTGGGGCCGTCGGTTATGCAGCAGTTATGTCATCTCAGTGCGCCGCTCGTCTACTGTGGCGGCCTGAGAGGTGGATGTATTTTAAGATCAGCCTCGAGAAAGAGGTGACACAGGATTAGCCAGCCCAGAGACTTAGCTTTTGACAGTCTGATCACGGCAAGCTGACAGTCCACACTCCCACTCTACTATGTCGGACAGCTTACCTGATACTTTTACAGCTAATAAAACCAGATGCCATGTGCACAATGGGGCGTCACATAGACCAAAACTAATAATAAATCAAACTGTACAATACACTCATAACAGCAAGATATATTTAATATACATTGTGCATTTGAAAAAAACAGCCCTCTGTGGTTTTGTTAAGACCCACCCCACCCAGAACCTGTAGGTGGAGAGGGTAACGACCACCTGTGTAAATAATGTTAGCCAAGTAATCCTGGCATACCTAGCTGTTATTTAAGTAAATTATTCTTGGTTAGGGCCCATATTATATCATTTTCAGATCCAAGTTATAATGTTATTTCCTCATCAAAAACATGGCCAGAGTTGTGTTTTTTCATTCAGACATGTTTAACAACCAAACGCTGCATATTTAGGCTGAGTTCTTCTCTCAAACACAAAACACTCCGTTTCACCTTGTTTCACTGTTTTTAAAACTCCAAATTCCTTCACTGGAATCGTTCGGATGATTTCAGTCATGGAATTTCCATTCTCTACCGAACAAAAGGTAAAAGGTAGCTGTTAACTTTAAAACTACACCTGGCATCACATGGTGGAACGTAGAATTTTTATTTTTGAGGGATGTACACAGACAAATGGGTTACTTAAAAAAAATAAAATAAAAATCAACTCCAGGTGTGTTTTGGATAATTCCATGAAGGTTTGAGTTGGGTTGGTTAGTTTATTATTTGTTATGGTTGTTCCTTTTAATGATATACTTTTCCTAATTTCAAATGAGCAAACTTTTAATTTTTTTTTAAATTCAGTAAGTATTTGAATGTGTTCTGCTGCCAGTAACACACTGGTCCCATGTCATGAGGAACTACTGTAAAACAATGCAGTATAGGGGAAAAAAGGTGTGGTGAATAAACAGTATATTGTGCAGAGCTAAAAATAAAAACAGTTTCCATAAATGTCCCAAACTTTTTCATTTCCTGAGGCAGCAGCCCTATAATTGCACAGTGCAGCAAAAGTGGGGGAATGCATGGTCACATTATTGCTTCATGCTGACAAATTGCCTTTGTTATTTATAGCTCTAAAAGACAAATGCTGTGGCCAATGGCTAAAAATAGAGCTATTGATTTATTTAAAAACAGGTGGTAATGTCTCTCTCAAATGGCTATAGTTAGCAGCCATTGATCGCACGGTCCAAATTGGTCTTGCAGCATCCACCTTTGAGACAAATAAAGGCTTTTTCTGCAACATGGGCACTGCACTAAAATAAAGCAGATTCCTCTGTATTGTAAAAGCATAGTAGTGAGACATAACCGGGGGCTGAGGTGCAACATAACATCTCTAAACTATACGTTCTTATTAGAGCCCGACCGATATATCGGTTGGCCGATATTATCGGCTGATATGCTTGCTGATAGGGGCCGATATTTCACGTGGGCATGTTATACCTCGTTATAAAGCTTAGACTCTCTACATTCTGTTCATTTAATCCAATTTACAGTCAGATAAATGTCCTAATATGTGGCTCCACATCAGTATTTATCTACGGAGTCATTTGTGTGTGTCCGTACTGTCCCTGAACACACCACAGAGTCGCGTCACTCACGTGTGTTTGTTTACACCTGCAGACATAGATCCAAACACTGAGATTATATTCTTTTTACGGAGAATCGGTTTGAGTCTGGATTAAAAGGACATTTATTAGTGCAGATTTGTGATGTGAGGAGGAGCCTGTATGAGCGGTGAGTGTTGGAATTATGTCGACTCTGAAGCTAGTTTTTGTCATTTGTTATGGGTTAGCTGCTGTAGCTCCCGCACATAAACAGACTGTTTTCTATTGGTCTGTTCTAAAGTGACTATATTGGCCGTATATTTGCTACTGGACCTGCACTGATATGTAAATGAACTGTGAATAGAGGTGTGAATTATGACATTTGCGCATATAATTAATTACTGCGGCGCGCACGTATTTACGGCTAAATACTAATAGCGCTACTTTCTTTACTAGTTATGGGTCCGTCGCGAACGAAATGACTCTTAGAACCGGCTCTTTAAAGGGAACGACGGGAGCCTGATCCTTATTGGGAGCCGTGTTTTCTCTTTCTCTCACTTTTTTTCTCTTCACGCCGCGTGCAGATTCGTGGTTTGACAGCGGCAGCGGCTAAAAACGAAACTTTGAGAAATTTGCGGGTACGTAGGATTTAAAAAAAAAAAAAAAAACGAGCATATTTGACTTTAGCATAAAATAAATAAGTCCCGGTTTAGTCCTTTTTCAGTCCTGGTTTAGACCTGGTTCAGTCCTGATTCAGTCCTGCTTTAGACGTGCTTTAGACCTGCTTGCAACAAAACAATCTGAAGAGCCACTTGGGAGCCAAAAGAACCAGCAGCTTTTAGTGAGCCGAGCCAAAAGAGCCGGTTCTCTAAAAAGAACTGGAATACCCATCACTAGTGTCTAGAATGTGATGCAAAAATGCCATTAAGCCAACCTACTGTCTGTAAATATGATGTAAAGAGGCAGAATAACAATAAATGTTGCCTAAATAAACCCAATTTAAAATCCACCAGAGCCAAACCTAAGTTTTTTAAACAATTCAACATTTACAGTGAATTTTTACATCACTAAATATATCGGCGATTATATCGGCTATCGGCAGATCCAACTCCCATTATATCGGTTTCATATCGGCCACAGCAAAATTCATATCGGTCGGGCTCTAGTTCTTATGCTGTACATTAGATTAAAAGGTCCTTACTATTTTCGCTAGTAAAAAATAACAGAGTATAAAAAAAAAATACTTGAGATGAAATTGTGTTGTAACACACAGGGGCAGTATTAACTAGCTAAAAATCATAAGTGCTCATAATAAACTTGGCTAACCAGGTCAACAAAGGCAATGGGAGTATTTCTCAGAATAAATATGGGAAGGATAGACACTAAAAACATCAAGGATTGTAGTGGGCCAAAACCTGGAGGCATGACCAGCTATGAGGGAAATGATTTAAGGGGGTCCTCAGAGCTTTGTTTGGTCAGAGGGATTGGTCATTAATTGTGCGTAGGATCAGAAATGTGGAAAACTATCAATACCAACTTTGTTGGGATTAGGGGTTAGTTACTAGGGGTTCTAACTTGTAACTATTAGCACAATGTAAGAAGTAAGAACGCTCAAGTTAATTTTGGATTTTGTTGGGGAGTTTCAGTTGATTAATGTTTGCAGCTCCAATCCTGATGTTGACTGTGGTTAAACACTGGAGAGCTTCTGGAAGGAAAGGGACTTACAGCAAAGGAGATTTGGTGTCCAGGATTACAGGTTTACTACCCACAGCCTGCCATAGGTCAGTGCTAAGACCACAAAGGGGTCAGCCGTATCACTAGTCATCCTCCAATAACAAACCACTTGATGCAGCTGCTGTGCAGCTGCCCTATATGTCAGTGAACATCTGGACTCACACAGAGGAAAAGAAGGCACAAGAGCAAGTCAAAGGCTCTTCCAGGGAGGAGAGTAGAGGGGGATATAGACTCATGTTGGCTCATCAATAATGAATGCTTCATTCAGAATCAATTAGGCCTTAGCACACAACAAGCGTTTGCATAATGAAGAATCTGGCATGGCCGCTTGTTCAGCAGTAACACTAAGGCCGACCCAAAAACCCAGCTAATTATAGACCCGCAGAACCAATCATAACATGAAAGACTGAGCCCAGTAAACCAGGCTGCACAAGAACGCTCTGACGCGCGAGCACAAAATGAACACTTTCTGGGCACTGCTTGGACTCAAATTTAACAACTTTGTCTTAATAAAAAAAAAAAAAAAGAAATACATGTAATTTCAAATTGCCATCAAACTAATAACAAAGAAGGAGCAGCCATGTTAAAGGGCCGGATTGGTGTTATAGGCTGTAAGTGAAAAGTGCTTGTTTAGTATTGCTGGTGGGGGAGTGGAAAGGGGCTGCTGCTGCTGAGCACACTCTTACTGTCACACCTGGCACCTGCCTTATCTACTGTTCAGTGTTCAGTCAAGGGCAGACTGGGCATGAGCACAACTACATGAAACTATAAGCATTCTCTCTTCAAATGTACTCATCTAAAGTAATATACTACAGTTAAAAGCATGAAACTGAAAGCAATAACAATAAAAATGTTTCTGGCAAAAATGGGGTGTAATTTTCACACAAATGCTGTAATGCTGCTGGGATAATTAGCATAATGCTGTGCAGAAGATTGAAGCCATCCGTCATTTCCTGAATCCAATAAGCAGTGAGGAAAATGAGTGACAATAACATGGGAATTCTGTGTGAGATCTACAGCCAAAACAATTAGTAAAATATGCTAGTTTAAGGAGGAATGGTATTTATATGCATCAATTATAAATATTATATCTCAATATTCCATTAAATGATCCAGGCTATGACATTCAGATGATTTTAATCCATCATACATGTGCAGTAAATTACTTGGTTGAGCATTGCAGAAAAAGTGAATGAACTAGTGAATTAACCAAAACAGACCAGCAACATGACTTTACAGCCCTATTTTAACAATCACACTGTTGTTTGTTATATGTTTTTTGTATTTTTACATACCTTATAAGGTAAGGATATACCTTACATTTTGAGTGGATATCCCCAAAAACTACTATTTCAATATTATAAAATTTTCAATACATCTCCCACCTGACCTCTCCCTTAGACCCCACGAGAACAAGTCCACATAAGCGCTTCAGGAGCAAGCCACAATGACCAGCACTGGGCCATACAAATGTAATTGTGATGTGGTCTGTGAGGCAACCTACTATTTTGTCAGGTTTATGTATTGGGTTTCAGGGCGCTGTTTAATGCGGCTTTATGCTCAAAGTAATACAGACACTTTCCCACGCACCGTTTATATTGGCCAGGCTCTGTGATGCTCTGAGTGAGTGACAGGTGGATTTAACCAAAGTATGAAAGAAGAAGAAGCAGATCACTTTAGTTATCTTAATGGTATGTAAAGACTGTATGAATCAAGAACGTGATGTACACACTGAAAAATCCTGATATGATATTTTAGCATATCGTCCACCTCCAACAGTGACTGTAGCTTCTCTTTGATTTTCATTCACTCACGCTTTCACTGCTTGTTACACCTCTGGTGTCTAGGGCAGCAGCAACGTCTCTGCATCCCTGTTTTCGTTCGCCACATTCAAAGCATTGTCCAAATGTTCCAATCTTAATGCATGGTATTTTATCCATTTATTATTCTATTTCCACTTATTTCTAGGTACATCAAACTTAAGTTATGGCTATAGACTATAAGCTTTATAATAAACATGCAACCCTCTAAAGGTGCAGCAGACTGCAACACTGACTGTACTTTAAATAGAGGATGCCTCTATTTTTCACTCATTCACTCAGCCAGACCATTGAACAAAAATAGTAAAGCCTCTGAAAAACAAAATAATTACACTGGCTGACATTGACTCTTAGACACACTTTTTTTTTTTTAACTGGACAAATGGCGCGTTTTTAAGAAAATAATTTGGATGGTGGGCATGTACACAATTACCATCTAGGCACCTGTGCACCAAGAAATCCTTCTACTTCAAAACTGTAAAACTAGTCCTCTTCAAAGAAATGGTATTGAACAGAATGTGTGAAGATTACATAATAAATCATATTTGTTTTCTTCATGATTAAAGCAGCCAGGAAAGCCTACCAAAACCAAGTATTGTTAAACTACTGGTACCCGAAAAAATTTCCAAAGGTACCCAGCCCTATGCGGTGTGGTGCCCAACAGTCTGCTTTCGCAGTGAGTTGGGCATCAGACCACTGGCGTATACATATGGTTATATTTAAGAAACAGAGGAGTTGGAAATGTGCTGGTGATTGCTGGCACAGAGGAGAGTCCTGGCCTGTGAGGAGCAGAAATGGCGCTGGAGTGGGCAGGTTGGACGGGCAGCCTGGATACATCATGTTGATCACCATCGTACTGCTGCAGGTTCACTGTGGCTTTTATCTTTTACATTAGCTCGGCTCGATCTGTATGTGGGTGGTGCTTGATTGCTAGGCAGCATATGGTCCCCTTTGCATCAGATCATTCCACTACAAGCTTAAGCAACTGTGTGCGAGTCAGTCCCTGCCCCCAGCCTCCTACAGCGAAGAATACACTCTTGAAAGGCTACAAGTTGGCACATCATCAGTGGAGAGGGTATGCACCACATTTCAGCTCCACACAGGAGGATGGTGCAGTGACAGGCAAATGTGGGCACTTAACCAAGCTGCTCAATTCATTTATCATTACAGGTTAGGTCACTTACAGTGGACGTAGGCAAATGTGACAGAAACGGAGTACATACACATTTGAAGTGTCACAAGTTGCGGTACCCTACTTTAACATTCATAAATCAACTGGATAATGTCTCGAGATCTTAAACGTATAATACGGCTTAATTTTTATTTTTGCCTTTTCGTAATGTTTTAGATAATTCGTGCAAATACATAGGTGGGGATGCGATGAAAGGGCATGGGTGGTTTACAACAACCAGTGGTGTATGACAACTTCTTGGTCGTTGCCCGTCATTTTAACATTTAATAGGTGAGCTCCATTAGCACTGACAGCAGGAGCCAAACGTCGCTAACTTCCCGCAAAATTGTTAGAAATCTACCATCAAAATGTCAGATAGATAGATATGGTATTATGCGTAGTGAGTGAACGCTAAAACAAAACCTGCAACTCTATCAAGATTATTAAAAGACATCTAGGCGACGACGCTGTGTGAAAATGGAAGAATGATTTTACGTGCTAGCTTAATTTGAGCAGCCGTACGCTTCCTTTAGCATGTACTACCAACCATTAATACACCAAAAAGGCACAGTCGTGACTTTTACATGCAAGCAAAAACATATTTTATCGGAGCTCTTTGCTTGTAATAGTGCGAGCAATGTCGAGAAGGTTTAAGAAATATCTGGGCCATAGGCTTGAGGCTAGTGACAGCCAAGGGGTATGGACAAGAGAAGAGGCAGCTATCTAGAGAGCCTAAGAAAACCATTTCCTCTTTGCCATTTGCAAATTTAACAACAAGCTAGTCTGACATCGGAAGACAATCCATCAAAATACGCGATCATTCGACACAATGACAGCACAGGCCTAGCCACTGGTGTGTTTACCAGTCGGCGGAGGGAGAAAATAGAGCCGTGGCTGCTGCTTACCATTTTGCAGATCGGATGATGAAATCCAGGCGATGTAAACGGAAAAGAGGGGCAGAGGGGGGCTGTGGATGCCGCCGAACAGTGGCCAGATATTCGGACAAAATGCGATGTTCTGTTGGAGGTCTCGGTTTTTGCTTCAGATCTAGCTCCCGACCCTCTCTGACACTCTCCTGGATCGAGCTTTGACTGCAGTGAGAGGGAGGGAGAGCCGCGGGGAGGGACAGAGCGGAGGAGGAGGAGCAGGAGAGGGGAAGAGGGGGAGGGGCGCTACTGTACATCCGGGAACTTTTACCTCCTTCACACTTTGAACGGGTGCGCCATCTGCTGAACGATTTGTGGTACTACTCCAAAGCAGGTAACTCAACTTTGTGTACTCCTTTAGTGAAAGTGTGAGCTTTATTAGGCTTGCATTCAATACTCGCAGTTTGGCTATGACAATCATTTTTATTAGACAAATATAGATTTAAATAATGCCCTCCCTAGAGTAATTTGCCACACACATTTTTCTTCATAACTGTATATAATTGTAAACAATAACATATTCATGGCATAAATAGTTTTTTGCCATCCTTGCATAGAAAATGTATTTCACACAGTTTTGCAGGTAATCAATCAAGACTTTCATCATCACAGTACAAAAATATAATACCGTTTCACAAAAATACATTTATATCATATAAACACAGGAATCCAATGACCTACTATTATGAACACTATTTTGGAAACACTTGGACAATAAACCACTACACAGTGTATTGTGTCCTATGAGGACCAGATGTATGCTGTCGTGCAAAGTATATTAAGTATTTTCTAAATGTTTAGTGAGTACACTGCAGCCTGAAGGCAGATGTCCAAACACGTAAACGCAAAGCAGGCCAAGGATTAATAAGAAATATTGTACTTTGAAAACAGTTGTGCAGTGGTCTATTGCATCTTGATTATATTAAACATTAAAAGATAATAAGTGGCACGATGAAATGCACCATAGTCATACAATTCAAATAAACACATGGCTTGCACTTGAATCTAAGGAACATATGTACCTGCTTATCTGTCTGTTCATATAACTTTTTGAGCACAGAAACAGGTTCTAAAAGGTTGCATCACTTGACAACACTAAATTCAGAATTTCTTTATAAATAGCACCATGGCACCCATGATGGAGTAGTACAAATCTAGCAATCACTTTTTTTTTTTCGACAGATGATAGTAGTAGTCACATCTAGAGGAACATTTCTTTGTTGATCCACATGAGCGTGCGCGTGTCATTTGGTTTGCACTCATATTCTATGCTGTTAAAGCTGTTTCCCCATTGACAGTGATCCCTCTTGTTATAGTTGTAAAACTTGACTTGCCACACAGTCTCAAACTGGCCAGCTTCTGTGAACTGAAAGAAAGGCATATGTATAGCACAGGTGATTAGTCACATTATGACATCATCAGGCTACAAAAATATTATTAAAACTAGAAATTATAAGAGTCATTATTGTTTTATTTTCCTACTCTTCTGCTACCCACTGAAGTTCACAAGTAAATAAAATCTCATTTAAGTCCAGTCAAATATTGAGCTATGCATTAGGAAGGGCACGAGATGTACCTTTGATATGCAGATTATATAAAAAGTATATGCAGCAGCAATGTTGTTATTAGGGAATTATTGCCATTACATATTATTAAGCAATAACAAATCACAAATAAAATATACATGACATCTGGCTTTTGTTGATGCACAGAATAATGGCTTTCAAAACTACAATACCTCTATGCTTATTTGAACAGGTTGTCTCTCTCCACTCTTGGTATGGGCCACCCCCTCTGTGTCATACAGTCCACTGTAGATCACAGACTGGGGGTCTTTAGATTGCTGTTCCAAAGGGAAGGTCACCCCACCAATGCTCATAGACCTGTACAGACGAGACAACACATGCACTCAAAGCCTGTTTCAATATTATAAGGTCATACACTGGCACAGTTGCTCAGTGGCCTTAAAATAAGCCTATACATTCACTTTGAAGGATGCAAAGTGATCATAATAAATTAGAAATATGAGCATATTATGGCTCCTTTAAAGCAAACAATTTCATTTGTATATCATTTATCTTATCTGTTATTATTATTTGTATCAACCGCTTGTCAATGCAAACAGCAAGGAAATTTACATATTTGCAATGCCCAAATTCTGTTGTCAAAAATGTTGAACCCTGTTCTCACTAGAATAACCAAGCATGTTACACAAGAATATCGTGTGTACAAAGCACAGGAGAAGAGTGCAATAACATAATGAGAGCCAAACTCCAAACCTTTAAGTGGATTTGACATGCTTTGTTTTGAGCACAGCCTTTAGGTGTTCATGATAAAAACCTAGCCTACTTATTTCTATCAACAATATTACCTACCTTATTAGTCTACCCTGTATTTACCCTTTTTTTTAACCTAATGAATTTTGATAGACATACTAATTTGATGCAACATATAGGCTTAACAATGAACAAATGTATTAGCTTTATAGAGGCAAAACACAGGTAATGTTTCATTTAATTGTAGTGTAAAAGGGCTGTTCATTGCCAAGACACTCTTAGGTCATTAGTGGTTTAACCCCAGATAATGGATTACAGGTAGGGACTCGCTATACCACAGGCAAAAATATGAAAAGGCTACCTACATGGCTTCGGATGCTCCAGGTTTTATGACTACTTCAATCTTGTACTTGGATCCGGTCAAGAGTTTGATGGTGCGTTTGTCCAAATCTGGCACCGTCGGATTTGAAGTAGACAGCGGTATTGTTAGGAAGCATTTTGAGAGAAATTCCTATCTTGATGAGCTGAGGAACGTCGGCCATGTTTCCATGAAGATGCTACGATATAGTGGCGTAATGAGCGGGATGCAGGGCGTGGACAATGGGCGGGTATGGATAAGCCTGTTCGGTTAGGAAATGCCTCGCGGAGTTTGGATCGGGAATAGCTGCGTTTTAATCCCGCTTGAAGCGGCGTGCGTTCACATAATCCCGGCCGAAGCGCTCCGTAATACTGTTCTCCTGTTGGATACAGGAGTTCTGAACAAGGGAGTAAATGGTTGCTAAAACAACATGTCATGTCAGACATAACATCGTGTAACTTTCCAATTGTATGCTACGTGTCTTTCAAATCGATGTCGCTGTCCGTGGTGCTGACACGATATAGCCTACTAATTAAGACTACACGTTTAATCCTGTTACAGTTTGCATATTTCATATCGTTCAAATATTTGATTGCGGTTCTTAAATTAAGATGTAACGACAGTTTAGTTGTTTCTGGGTGCGGGGACCACCGTCTGGGTATAATGCGTTTCAGTGTCAGTGGTATATAGGGGTTCTCATTTATTAAATTAATATATGAAGATTAACAGTAATCCAGTGTTCAGTTTAACACTGTATGGCGAACGAGCGACTGCGTGGCATAACCCCCCCCCAAAAAAAAAAAAACAAAAACAAAAAACAAAAAAAAAACAGAGACTTGCTCGGGCTATTAGAGCGGCAATCGTGTGACCTCCTTCCCAGCCATTGTAATAGCACCTGTGGGTTCACAAAGTCTTACCTCCACAAGGGGGCAGCCCTTGTGGGCAAACCAAATATAGGTCACCTAGTGCCCAAATGTAAACATCACAGTGATCTATGGACCATACACCAGCAGGTTAAGATACAAAAACAAGAGTAGTTATCTACACACCAACCCCAATTGTTGTAACAGCACAATTCTCCCAAAAGCCATTAATTACACTCCATGTACCTTTGTTCTTCTTCACAGGGCAAAGAAATTTAGAGATGGGCCTTTTCAACTGCCCCGTCTTTGTCTTCAGGTGCACACCTGCACTATAGTCTATTCTTGACAGGTTATGGCTGGCCACTATAGAAAGTGCAAGTAGTCCACATATATCTCCCACACCTGCAGCTGGTAGAACATGGACTCTTTGCAAGTCATTAGTGCAACATTTTCCACCCCTAAATCTAGTTAGCAAAAGCCCAGCCCCTGTAGGAGCTGGCTATTGAATGAGGTGCATTGATAGCTTGATCCACAGTGAAAAACATTTGCTAGGTCCTATTTGACAGTGATAGACTCTGTGATAGGACAGATACGACACATGAGGAACCACCTCTGCATAGATTCTATGTAGTCTCTGATAAATGCTGTGCATTCCTCTGTGGAATCCTTGTTTCTTTCAAGCTTCCTTTTGGGGCTCTGAATGTGCTGCTCCAAATGACAAAGTTATTTGAGCAAGTTAGTCTTTGTGTCCTGGATGTACAGTGTTTTCTCCTCCACACAGTGCTGAGACCCCATCATGAACAAAGCACACTACAATGGATTGCCATCAAACATTGTGCTGTACAGCTGTGGCAGAGTGGCTGCTAACTGCTGCTGTACGAACACTGATGTAATTTTATTCTGGGACACTCATGGCATGATAAACTACCATTGTACTCATGATCCAGGCAGTAGTGATTGTGAAGCTGAAGGGTGGACAGGGACATCACTTGACTTGACCTTTACTGTTTGAGTCTTTCAATCAGCCAGCCCCCGCAGCCCTTTTAACCTGAATCCTGATACCATTTTGTTTTTGTTGTTCATCCTCAGGCAGTATTGCAAACATTTTAAATGCTGTTGAAACAATATTAACATCTGAAGAGTTATTTTGTCATTTGTTTGCACAATTAAATAAATCGCTTCTTTTGCCCACTATCTTGAAGAGCACCTGGTAGACTACTTGCAAGATTCAGTGAGCACTCCTAGTGATCTATTGGTGATAAACTAAGCCAATTTTAGTCATGATGTAGACTTGGTTTGCTCCATTTTATTTTTGGTCTGATTCAGTTTTAGTTTCAGGTTTAGTCCTGATTAAGTACCAGTAAGACCAAGACTTATATATTTACTGATGCCAAAGATAAAGCAGGCTTGCATCGATGGTTGTTGTGCTTGATGAAGGGAGGGTGCAGGAGCAAGCATCTCCTCCTGGAGGCTGGACTGGAGGTGACTGTGGACTCTGCAACAGGGGGTGAAGAACTAGGCTGTGCTGAGCTAGAAGCCCAAGAAAGCCAATTACTGGCATGGTTCTGATCTCAATTATATATACCCTCTATTTATGAAATCCACAGCTAGATGCTATTTGTCATTCCAAAAAATGCAGTTCGCCCATGGGCATGTGTGACAGTGCATCATAAAGCAAAATCATTTGTAAACATGAACTGTTCTGTAGACTGCATATGTCCTGATATATAGGTCATGCCTCTTTATCTGTCATGGTGCTGGTTCGGTTCCTGTATCCACACCCCTGAAGCAGTCAGGACAGCTACTCTTCATCTCCCATAGATGTGTGCTTCTTCGTTTTCGAAGTCATCCCTTCTGAAAGAATGGGAACATATACTTGAAATGATTGAGAAATGTACATAATGGGACAATGTTTCAATAATCAAGAATAGTTGGAGGAATATCACTTATTCTTAATTAACAACAAATAGCACATAGATATACTAGACATATACTATAATGTAGAATACATGTCTATATGTGTAGATACAAAATAGACTATGATATGATGACTATAACACGATATGAAGACACAGAATGTTAAAACTAAAATTTCTGTTGAGAAACACATAACAGATGAATAAGACAATGGTGAGTTTGATTGATATTAACCCATGAATTTGACTGCAGCTTTTGCATTTGTAAAAGCTATAGTGTCATTGTCAACAAACTATGGGGAATTGCTGTGTTACTGTCTTATCAGGACATGGTTTCAATTTTGTTGAACAACCTATATTAATAAGATGTCACGAGACTTACAGAACCAAAATGCACAATCAAACTGTTTCTCAATATTAAGTTGAATTGTGTGTATACCATAATGAGTTCTGTTAGTCAATACTGTGCTCCTGTTGGATACAGGGGAATGAAGCAAAACAAGATGTCATGTCAGACACAAAACAATGTGTAACCTTCCAGTTGTATGTAATTCTTTGCATAGTGCATGTGATTGGATTGTTTTTCAAATAACTGTTTTTCATGGTGTTGACAAAACAATTAATAATTGAGGTTTTATCCTGATCATACTATTTTATTTCACATTATATTTGTATAATTGTTTTTGTTTACAGTTTTAAATAATGCAAATATGTAATGCAATGGGATTATGAAAACATAATACAAAATTAGATTACAACCAAGCACAGACATGGCCTATGTCACTATAATTTAGATGGTTGAGCCTTATTTGTTTCAGTTTTACTCTATAATACTTTCTATACTTACATTCAATAGCCCACTTTGCCTTGTAATGTTAAAAAGCACCGCTAGAGGACAGGCTTGGATCCAACATACTGCTCAAGACCTGCAATCTCTTCATGCTCGTGAGTGTAAATTGGAAAGCTGGTTTGGAATCTTTTTTTTATTTATTTATTTATTTTTTAATATTGTCATGTTGTGGAATGAGGGGTAAAATGTGCCAAGAATCTGATATACAGCCTGTGCCTGTGTTTTGGGATTTCACCTGTTATATTTACACTAATATGTAGTAAAGGGTGAGTTTTAGTGTCAGATAAATTCGAACAAAAATATTGTATTTATTTGACTTTATTATTAGGCTATTACCACAGTCAACCGAGCCAAGTAATCTACTTGAATTAGGAAATTTTATTTTATTTAGGATTTTCTTAATTTCACTTGAACTATATTTTAAAGGCTGAAATACTAGCATAAAGACAAATAATGTAGGCCTACCTATATATCTGAAGAAGAGTTTCTTGTAGAAGCTTTTGAACCGCACATTAGACTGTCCCTCCCGCGCTCTTTAGGTCAAAAGGAAACAGACCGAGTGTTTGGGTAAGAGAGAAAGTGTGGGAGGGTGGGAGAGCCCTCCCCTTAGGCAAATGTCAAGATGGATTCATTCCTTCAAAACCCCACTTTCCTGCAACCTCTCGCAGATGGTCCGAGAGTCCAAAGCGAACTGTAGCTCTATTACGCGCAGATGGGAACATGACGAAAAGACCATTGTAGAAGTTTTTTTCCGTCTAGTTGTAAAAGTCTCGACTGAGTCGTATCAACTACATGTGACAATTTGCCGTTTTGAGCGCTGCATTCAGCTGGTGATGCCATGCCGCGGAGCCACGCCGGCGAAGATAACAACAGCAGCACCGGGCTCTGGCGAAAAAGCTCGGGGGACCGCCGAGACTTGCCGCTCAAAGATGTGGAATCTGGACGCAAGATCATGAACAATACGGTGCGTGTCGGCGACTACGTGCCACCCGCGAGTGCGACAGGTGTGGCGGGGGACAGAAAGCAGGGCGCCCGGCTCAGTCTGCTGGGAAAGCCTCTCACCTACAGCGCGCAAAGCGGCCGTAGGAACGCACGTTACCGGCGCCTGCAGAATTACCTCTACAACGTGTTGGAGAGACCGCGGGAATGGGCGTTTGTCTACCACGCGTTTGTGTAAGTAGCTAAAACACATGCAAAAGTTGTGAGGATATTAATTTTACATTTCTGGTCAGTTCATTTTCATTTCATCAATAGGCTAAGAGTGTCAGTGACAGTTTTGGCAGTTTATGATGTGGTCATAGTTGGCTGTTGTTAGAAATGAGGCACACAATAACAAACAATAACCAACTTGGTGACAGACATGGATTCAAAGCCTTTTAAGCCAATTTAATCTATGACCTTTTACATGGAAATGTTACTTCCCCTGCCTCCTGCACACATCAGAGCAGATAGACTCTGGACCCAGGTCTGGAACATGGGTTTTAGATTCTTTTTTTTTTTTCCTGCACCTGCTGCAGCCAGTGCACAAAGTGATCTTGTTCCAGCGGTTTTTAAGCATTTGTTGTCCATTTTCCCCTGTTTATATTTTTACAAAACAAACTGGAAATAATAAAGTCACATGAATATGATGTGGACGTTATTATTATTGCATCAATACTCGAAGAACATTGTGAACTTTGGACGTTTTAGCTGTAGGATATGTGATCCGATAATCACAAAACGGTAAAGCACATCCTTCACTTTCTTCTTTTGGTCCCACTTTCACTTTCAATTTCCTTTGTTAAGACAACATCTATTGCAGATATTTTTCATTTTAGTTGCCAACAAATCAACTCTACACCAGGAGCTCTGTCAGGACTCACTGAATAATAGATGTGGTATTTACGTTTTTCCTCTGTAGCCTAAATCAAACATCAGTGCTAGAGACAAAACTATTTCTACTGCATAATTTCTTTATTAATTTCTCAAATAATCTCCCAATTTTGTTTTGTGCATATACCATTCTTCTGACATATACTGTGATTGGTCTGGTACCACTCCTTCCTTTTTAAAATCAGATACCCCATTATCTTTGAGACCAGCAAAAATTGGAATCGCAACAACTAATGAATGCCACTTGATTGGACCAAGTTTAGTCATACACACCTGCAGACATGGTTTCTTCATTTTGCTTTAGTCCTTGTGTAGTCCTAGTTCATCTGCACATTTAGATCCTATTTAGTTTCTGTTTTGTTTATTTGAATTTTTTTACTGAATGCATTCAAGATATGGCTGAATGAATGCAACAAATTGTACACCCATGCATCCTTTTTATTATCATATTATCATTTTTCAGACCATTATCCATTATCACATTTCAGACCATTGTGTAACTATGATTGCATCTCTATTTCTGCGTGTTAGAGAATTGTGTTGGATGAGGATTGCTGTGAGAAGGAGGAAGTGGAGCTGTCAGAGGTGGGGCCAGTGCAGCCGGATGTTGACGTTTTATTTGCCCAGGCCGGACAGCTGGGGTCGTGAGGGTTAAGTTGTTACATCTGCTTTTGACCAGCCTCCCACACTTTACTTGTGTTAGCCTAGTTTGGGTCAGCTGCATGCGTACTAATGATGCAATAGATTTAAATGGGTTCTGGTGAGAAAGTCCACTGGAAGATGATTAGATTTTTGATTGTGTAAAACAGCGTCTTTGGTGATGGTACTGAAAAGTTTATAGGCTTGTCATGATAATTACTATATGAACTTATCTTTCAATGAATGAAAGTTGGAACTATATTTTTGGGAGGCTCAATATCTATTGTTTGTATGTTTTCTTTGCACCAATAAAGTTTTATTTATTTTAAAAAAAAATTTGTAGTATTATAAGTTTTGAGTTGTAAACCATCGCCAAATGGCACTCACCATTGTTCTTCGTGGGTTTCTTCTTATTATTATTTTTCCTTGAAAATGTGATTTTGAGGGCCTAAACATTGTTTGAGGACAAGCAAAATTCAGGACAGTAATAGAGGACAATAAGACAAGTCAGAAGATAAACTGGCACATGCCCCTTTGTTGAACAGGAAGTCAGCCATCTTGGATCAAAAATTTGCCACCACTTTGTGTTGGCATCTAGTCCCTGTTTTTTTTTTTTTTTTTGGTCCAAATAAGGTCACATTTGATATGTCACATCAAGAGGCATAGGTTCACACCAGTGCAGGTTATTAATTGTTTTTTTTTTTTTTTGGATACTTCTTACAGTTTGCCCGTAGCACGCTGGCAAAAAAACACCTTAATTTTCAGTTTCTTTGATGACCTCTCACGGCCACAGGCATTGGCCCAGAGAGCTCAAAATCAAATCACAAATGCACGTTCTGGCCTGAAAGTATTGAAATATGAAGTCTTGTACACTATAGTGCCCCTAACATAGACATGTAATGTCAACATTATCTGATATGGACCACATCTGGGGATTAAATTCTATGTATCACTACACGCAAAAAAAAAAAAAAAAAAGATTACAGACATGGTGTATTTATCACGATTGGCCAACAGGGGCGCAAACACTCCACAAAAAAAAAAAAAAAATCTACCAAAATTAAAAAATATATCTACCAAATTTAGGGATTCAATTCTATGCATGATTACAAGCTAAAAAAAAATATTATGTACATGTGTCATTTTTCATCGTGGCCAGCAGGGTCACAATAACTCCCCCTCAAAATATTTCTGAAATGATTACACACACATGCTTAGTCCGATCGTGCTGAGATTTCTATCAGTTGTACACTGCATGACCCTGATATGTCAAACACAAATATTAGTATCTCACATGCAAAAATGTTACTATGGGCAGAAAAAAAAAAATGTTCACATTAATTCATGAAACTTTGCAGAACATTCACTGATGTGTTCATAAAAGTCAATGAGACCTATGCCCTAGTTTTTATACTTTTGCCTCTAAAGTCATTAACTTTTAAGAATTTTAAAGGCGCACTATGTAACCTTTCTGGTGGAGGGTCTCTTTTCATGCACAATCTTAGTCTAACAATATTTTTAATCATAAAGGTCATGTGATTTATGGCCTAGTTTCTATAGTTTGCATCTAGAACCAGTCACATTATCCAATTTTAAAGGTGCGCTATGTAAATTTTCTGGTGGAGGTTGTCCTAGGCGGCTGTCAGGAAGAGAGAGAGAGCTGGGGAGGTCATGAGTTGCGTGTTTTGAACTTTTGAATCTAGTCTGATATCTACAATTAACACTCCTAAATGAATAAAGAGAGCTCTGTTTTTGTATTGCACTAAGTCCAATTAAGAGTAGAGCCCGACCGATATGGATTTTGTTGTGGCCGATATGAAACCGATATAATGGTAGTTGGAGCTGCCGATGGCCGATATAATCGCCGATATATTTAGTGATGTAAAAATTCACTGTAAATCTTGAATTGTTTAAAAAACCTAGGTTTGGCTCTAGTGGATTCTAAACTGTTTTTTTTTTACTAGTGATGGGTATTCCAGTTTTTTTTTTTTTTTTTTTGGAGAACCGGCTCTTTTGGCTCGGCTCACTAAAGCAGCTGGCTCTTTCGGCTCACAAGCGACTCTTGAAATTGTTTTGTTGCAAGCAGGACTAAACCAGAACTGAACCAGGACTGAAAAAGGACTAAACCAGGACTAAAACAGATTTAAACCATGTGTAAAACAGGACTAAACCAGAACTGAACCAGGACTGAGTGTCGGGACTCGGTCTCTCCCTCACTAGAGCCCAAGATTAGTCCTGGTTTATTCATTTTATGCTGAACTGCAGCCAAATATGCACTTTTTTTTTTTAATCCTTTGCACACGCAGATTTCTGAAAGTTTCGTTTTCAGCCGCTGCTGCTGTCAAACTACGGGTCTACAACCGGCTTGAAGAGAAAAAGTGAGAAAAAGAGAAAACACGGCTCCCAATAAGAAACATGCTCCCGTTGTTCGCTTCAAAGAGCGACCCATCACTACTAGCTAGTAAATAAACAATCGCTATTAGCCTTTAGCCGTAAAAACGCGCGCGCCGGGGTAATTAATTATATGCATAAATGTGGATCATTCATACGTCTATTCACAGCTCATTTGCATATCAATGCTGGTTCAGTAGCAAATATACGGCCAATATAGTCACTTTACAATAGACCAATAGAAAACAGCCTGTTTATGTGCGGGAGCTACAGCAGCTAATCGCTAATAACAAATAGCGAAAACTAGCTTCAAAGTCGATGTATTTCCAACACTCACCGCTCACACAGGCTCCTCCTCACATCACAAGTCTGCACTAATAAAAGTCCTTTTAATCCAGACTCAAACCGATTGTCCGTAAAAATAATATAATCTCAGTGTTGCGCACCGATGCGGGTATAAACAATAGCACGTGAGTGAAGTGACGTGACTCTGGTGGTGTGTTCAGGGACAGTACGGACACAGACACAGACAAATGACTCCGCAGATAAATACTGATGTGAAGCCACATATTAAGACATTTATCTGTCTGTAAATTGGATTAAATGAACATAATGTAGAGTCTAAGCTTTATAACGAGGAATAACATGCCCACTTGAAATATCGGCCCATATCAGGAAGCATATCGGCCGATAGCTGGTATGTCTCGAGGTGCCCGTATCGGCCAATAATACCGGCCAGCCGATATATCGGCCAATAATATCGGCCAGCCGATATATCGGCCGGGCTCTAATTAAGCGAATAAGTTAATTTGCATTGTTCTTCTGAGGCTAACTTTTAAAATATTATTGAATATAACTATACTTACCTGTACTGCAGTATGGGAGTTCACAATTAAGGGAAGTGCTGTATTGAAGGATCCAACCTCAATCTGCTTAATGGGCAATTATTACTATGAGAAATATCAGCCAGTTATTCCTTTAAAATTAGGTTTTATAGATATAGTGTTACATGCAGAAATTGAAAATCAATGTATTTTTGCCCTATTCTTTACCTTGATGTAACAGCAGTATCAGAGGCCAGTACTGCACATGTGTAATTCTTATTTGGACTGGAGCTTGGATCACTTGGGTCTTCAAAAAGTACTGTTTCAATGGGCTCAGAAGCAGCCCTTTTTGTTCCATGTCCAGTCGTTTCTGAACTGTCCAAAAACTCCATATCATCTGGAGAGTTTTCTTGAAAAAAGACATGTCCAGAAAGCCTGGTGATATGA